TTGGGACGCCATTAATCTGCTGCGGGCAAGCTGACGAGCATGGTCAGCTCGGGTAATAGCGTCGTGTGCATATTCAGAAGTAGACTGCGCAGCGGCTGGCAAGAAGGTATCCAACGGAAATGTTGGTTCGCATCCTAACAGAAGGTAAAATGGCGAGTACCCAGCAGTGTCATGCTGGGAGGAATTATATGCGAACGTCACGTAGGGTAGTGCAAGGTCCCAATCACTATGGTCGGCTGAGACATATTTCGATAGCATGTCTGTCAGGGTGCGGTTTAAATGTTCTGTAAGCCCGTTTGTCTAGGGATGGTACGATGTCGTGAGCTTATGTTGGGTAGAGCAGGAATGCAGGATATCGTCAACCACTTTCGAAAGGAACGTACGGCCTCGGTCTGTCAGCAGTTGACGAGGGGCTCCATGCACTAAAATGAGGTTGTGTAGTAGAAAATCAGCGACGTCTGCAGCGCAGCTTGTTGGCATGGCTCGCGTAACTGCATAATGGGTCGCGTAATCCGTAGCCACTGTGACCCACTTGTTTCCGGAGGTGGATGTTGGGAAGGGACCGAGAAGGTCCAAACCAACACGGAAGAATGGCTCCGATGGGATGTCGATGGGCTGAAGATATCCGAAGGGAGTCCCGACGGCTTTTTGCGACGCTGGCAAATTTCACAGGCGTTGACATAACGACGTACAGAGCGTGAAAGGCCAGGCCAGTAGAAGCGGCGGCGCACACGGTCATATGTGCGAGAGACACCAATGTTACCGGCGGTTGGCACGTCATGGAGCTCACGTAGGACTGTGGAGCGCAGGTGCTTTGGGTAGGTCGTGACCATTGGGCGATAAATTACGCCGATATAAGGTGTGGTCCTTTAAGGTAAACATGCGAACAGAAGCGTCTTGCGGTGAAGATTCGAGCCTTTGTATTAGGCGGCTGATATCCGGATCGCGACGCTGCTCGTCCCCGAGATGAAGCAGCTGGGAGATGGAAAGGACGCAACCCACATAATCAGTGCTCGTAGGATCGCAGTCGGTCACAGGGTAGCGTGAGAGACAATCCACATCTTTGTGCAGTTTTCCTGATTTATACACTATGGTGTAAGAATACTCCTGGAGGTGGAGTGCCCAGCGGGCGAGACGACCTGTGGGATCTTTGAGGAAGGCGAGCCAGCAGAGCGTGGTGGTCGGTGAGAACTCTAAATGGTCGGCCGTATAAGTAAGGGTGAAGTTTCGCGACTGCCCACACCAGCACTAGGCATTCGCGCTTTGTGATGGAATAATTACGCTCCGAGAGGGACAGCAGCCTGCTGGCATTAGCTATCGCGCGATGCTGCCCACGTTGTCGCTGAGCCAACACAGCGCCTATTCCGTAACCTCTGGCATCGGTGCGGACTTTGGTCGGTTTCGAGGGTCGAAGTGAGCCAGCACAAGAGAAGAAGTGAGCAAAGTGGTCAGGTCGGGGAATGCTGCTGCTTGCGAGGGACCCCAGGTAAACGTCTCATCTGGTTTGAGTAAATCTGTTAGGGGCCGAGTGATTTCCGCGAAGTTCTTGATGAACCGCCGAAAATAAGAGCGGAGCCCCACAAAGCTGCGGACATCTTTGGCAGTTTTTGGCACAGGAAAGTCCTTCACAGCTCGAACTTTTTTTGGGTCCGGCTGTACGCCACAAGCGTCAACAATATGTCCAAGTATTGTAATGCGACGGCGACCAAACTGGCACTTGGATGAATTCAGCTGAAGGCCGGCGAGACGGAATACATCAAGAATTTTCGACAGTCTCTCAAGGTGCGCTTCAAAAGTGGGAGCAAACACGATCACGTCATCCAGATAACAAAGACACATAGACCACTTGAATCCATGGAGCAGGGAGTCCATCATTCGTTCAAAGGTGGCGGGGGCATTACATAGGCGGAAAGGCATGACTTTGAATTGGTAGAGGCCATCGGGTGTTACAAAAGCCGTCTTCTCTCGGTCCATGGGGTCCACGGCAATCTGCCAATAACCAGAATGAAGATCGATGGAAGAAAAGTAGGCGGCACCATGGAGGCAATCAAGGGCGTCGTCAAGTGGGGCAGAGGGTATGCGTCTTTCTTGGTGATGTTGTTAAGGTGGCGATAGCCCACACAAAATCGCCACGGTCCGTCCTTTTTAACTAATACCACCAGGGATGCCCAGGGACTGGAGGATGGTTCAATAATGTCCTTCGCTAGCATCTTGTGCACCTCCTTCTGAATTATGCTCCGCTCAGAAGCAGACACTCTGTAGGGACGGCGGGGAACAGGGTTGGCATCACCTGTGTGTATGCCATGCTGGACAAAAGACGTCTGCCCTAGAGGTCGGTCGCCAAAATCGAAAGTATTCTGGTAGGCCTCAAGAAGATGTTGCAGGGCTTCAACTTGCGAAGGCGAAAGATCAGTGGCGATTATGTCTACAATTTGACGGCTGCCCAAATGTGTTGCGAGTGATGTGCGCTGCGGTGAAACAAGGGTGTCTAAGGCAAGCACTTCAATTTGTGAATCGAGCAACGGACACAGGTGGACCACGGAAATGCCTTGTGGAAGCACATGATTCATGTAGCCTAAATTTACAAGTGGTAGACAAGTTTTGTTATCTGTGATGCTGAGCACCGTATAGGGCACTGAAACATTGTGCGCAAGGAGTACGTCGGTGAGAGGCGTAGCGTAATAGTCATCGTCGGGCACAGCTGGTGAGCACAGAAAATCGACGTACATCACAGTTTTGGAGGGCAGGTGAACAAAGTCGCTGCCTTGTAATCGGCATGTAGCTTGGTACGGGGCGTCACTGATTTGTGGCAGTTCTAGGCGGACACACTAGTGGAGCAATCAATCAGAGCAGAATTGGCGGCAAGAAAATCGAGGCCTAGTATGAGGTCATGGGGACATGTTGCAAGCACGGTGAAAAGGACGACCACTTGATGACTGGCTACGGTAAGTTGAGCTGTGCACATACCGACGAAAGGGACTGTTTCGCCATTGGTCAAGGGGGGCGGGAGGACCTTCTTCATGCGACGACGAAAACGCGAACTCATAATACAGGCGTGACCGCCTGTATCTATCAAAGCTTCAACAGGTGTGCCATGAACATATATTTCTAGGGTGTTCCGGTTCAAACGTAAGGGCAACAGAGGATTTTTGGGTAAGGTTGACAGGGCAGCTTCACCTCCAGAAGCTGCACAGCCTAGTTTTCCGGGGACATGCGGCGGTTAAACGATGGCGAGGAAGAGCGGCGACGCGTATTTGAACGAGAAGAGCGGCTTTGAGGCGGTGGCGACGACGGGATAGGGTGGCCGTAATCCTCAGGGGCAGTAAATGCTGTAGGCTCAGTGCGGGTCGGATAACGGTGGTTTGGTGGACGGAATGAGTTACTGTAAGCAGGGTACGAGCCAGAAGACATAGATGGCCATTGGCTGCGGCAGTAACGCGCGATGTGTCCTGCGCGACCACAGCGGAAGCAGATTGGCTTATCATCAGCTGTTCGCCATTCAGGCGGGTTCCTGGTTCGAATAGAGTACGGATGGCTATGTCTCATGTCCACAGAAGCTATCGAGGGACCAGTATTATCCAGGGTGGGTGCAGTGGACAGGATATCAAGGTTAGCGAATTCCTGGCGGACAACAGCCTGGATCAAAGCGACAGCTGGCGTTGAGGCGTCGGGCAACCTCGGTTTGTTGGTAGCCAAATAAGTGGCCTCGAGTTCACGTCGGACGATGCGCGTCACATCTTCCGTCGTAGACGGATGACAAGGAGTGGCTTCGCAAGACGACGTTGCCACGGTGTTGGGTAGGCGCTGGAACTGCTGCAAAATGCGTCGACTCTTCGGCAGCTCGAGACGCCGGCACTCTTTGATCACGGCGTCGATGGTCGTTACGTTGGTAAATACAAGCAGGCTGAACGCATCGTCGGTGATTCCTTTTAAAACTTGCGTAATCTTGTCGGCCTCAGTCATGTTGGGATCGGCCCTTTGACACAACGCTAAGACGTCTTGAATATAAGTCAAGTAGGGCTCAGTGGACGTCTGTGTACGTACGGCCAATTGCTTTCGGGCATCAAGCTGTTGACCAAACGGGTTGCCAAAGAGGTCGTGGAGCTGTTGTTTAAACATTTCCCAGCTTGTGATTTCGTGCTCATGGGTCTCAAACCAGATGCGAGGGGTCTTGTTAAGATAGAAAATGACATTCGCAAGCATAACGGTTGGGTCCTAGTCATATTGCTTACTGACGCGCTCGTACATACTAAGCGACTTGTCCACATTCGCATTTTCCTCTCCAGTAAAAGTACCGGAATCACGGGGTTGCGTTAGAGCAACGTGCCGGGTTGCTGTCGTTGCTGAGGTAGGTGGCAAAGCCGTACCCTCACCTGGAGCCATGGTAGCAGGCTTAAGGAGGCGTCCACTGCGTAGCTCCATTGTCAGAAGAGTACCCAGCACCTCTACCAAAATGTTACGTGGAAAATAACAGTAGTCAGTCTACAGCCCCAATGCAGCGTCCACTTCTTCACTCTCAGTCTGAGGCACCCTCCCTTGGGTATGTCCCACTATGCCCTGTTTCAATCAGCCGAAATCGCGTAACAGTATATCTTGACGGTCACGCAGATATTGTTCGTTTTAAGCCAAAGTTCGTTTTAAGTGGGGCCGTTATATGTGGGCTCGACTGTATATATATATATATATGTATATATAATATGAAGTGTGTATTAAGAAATGTGTCGGGAAATGAAAGAAGTGACATATATATCAGACAGGTAGTAGATTGTAGCCTAAACTAGGCTTCCGGGAATATTCTAATATGAATTAGACATTTTCTATTAATAATAGTCAATAGTCATTGTATGCCACATTATAGTTTTCTCTAATTTTTGCTGTCTTTATACCAGCATATGTTTTAATATACGCTAAACGATACTTATCTGTCAGTGTCTGTGAAGGCTTAGCAAATTCAGCTTCCCTTTTGTATTCTTGATTTATTTGGGGTGTTATGCTTTCAGATGTTGTGCAAGGAAAAATGGATGAAGTGATTGGGCATTTCGCCGTTGATTTGGATGGTCGATTTAGCAGCATCAGAACTTCGGAGACAAATTTAGGTAAGTGGTGTCTTTTTCTTTGTAATTTAGTGTTTGCTGCTATTTATAGGCCATTGTCGAGACAAGAAAAATGCCATCTATGTCTAAAGAAAGTCTACTAGGCGTAAAGTAAAAGATCCTAAAAGCTAGCATTGTGCATGTTAGTGAATGAATGGGGAGGGAGAGAGGCCGTGCTGAAAAATAAAGAATAATTAATTCCATGGCTTAGATGGCACTGGCTAAAACTCAGTAGTGCAACTACTTACTAAAAATTCATGTACATTTGTTCTCAATAACTTTGTAAACCATGGGTGCACATGGCCACTGGCATGTGCATAATGTTGCGCACATGCAATACAGTGGTGCCTGCTGTTAAGAGTGCAGCAGGGCATACACGCAGATATCTTTACTTGCTTGTTTGATCATTTGTTTGTTCAGCACTGGTGTGTACACCATTCACCATACTTTTTGCTGCCACAGCTAGTACGTAGCTTTGACGACGTAGCAGTGGCACAGCAGCATATTTAATTATAGAAGCACTCACTAGCACCACCAATACAGGCAACTGCCATGCAACAGTCATATTAACTCTTTTGTGGGTTCATCTATATTTTTTCTTATGATAACAGAAAATATACCTGTGGAAAAGCTATATAACTTCCTTGAAGATAGTATGGAGTATTTTTGATCAAAATACGACCATTAGTTTACAAGGGAAAAAATGGGACATATCTTTCCCATTGATTCATGATGTGTTTCAGAAAAAGTGGGAAAACATTTGTCCCATTGTCTCATGAGCACTCTAGGCTTTAATCATTTTGCCAAATTTTTGGCACCAAAAGGCTTGAAGCAAGTGGTAAAAGCAAGTGCACTGCAAAAGCAAATTCTTGTGCAGGTGATTTCTAGCTGTGGTACAAAATGTGTGCCTGCACCAGTTGTGCTGCATCAGCAGCTCTGTCTGACTTGTTTGCCTACGTTAACAATTTATGCCCCTTTCTGGGTTTTCTGCTGGTGTTGATAAGGATGAGCATTTCAGTTATGCCTGAATTTCTGTTCATATATAAAATTGCAGCTATGAATCGGATGCCAGCCATATCAGTGTGGTGCTGCCAAATGCACAGAATCCTGGGTGATTCCACGTAAGATCGAACAAAGCATGGCTGGTCAACCTCTTAAATTTCTTTCAATATTTTATATATAGTTGCCTGATCAGTGGAAAGAAGAGATCCGCAATTGGTTTCACTGTCAAAAATTTTTTCGAGGCACAGTAAATCAATAATGACGGAGAGGTGGAGCGCCACGCTTACCTGCTCTGCTGCTTTTTTCGAATTTGGCGATGGATTATACAAAATATATTAAAGCTAAGTTCCTCAAGTTTGTTTGACTACATATAGGCATACTGGCACTCATACTCAATTATATTTTGATTTTTTTAAATAAAGATTCTGAAATTTGGCCTCAAAAACTTTTTTCTGCCTAGTTTTGCAGGCTTTCATTTCACAAAGTGCCTATGGCAGAGCGATGAAAATTCCACATAGTTTTCTAAACATGCTTATTCATAAAACTGCCAAAGTTATTATTAAGAGCACTTTTCTCTAAAAGGATATAATTGGGCTAACTTCAAGAAAAGAGCATGCAAGGGAAACTTTGATGACGATTAAAAAGAACATTTTCGATATATTTATGCTTTCTCCCACTTATTCTATTGCACATTCGCTTTCACAATCAAAAAGACATGTTGAAATTTATGGTTTCACTTGCAGTTATGGCCCATAAAAAATGCCCTTGCGCAAAAATAGGATATTAAACAACACTCAACACCATGACAAACAAGGTAGTGTCGCTAACACCTGACTCACCATAAGGGCCCCCGGCAAACGGCCCGCGTTGCCGTGCACCGGGGGTCCCACTGCGAGAGACAACCGTTCGCGCCAAACGCCACCAGCCGAAGAACCTCGCTTAACTTTCTCTGCTGCCACCAAGGCTTGCCTTCTGCCAGGGGTCGCCGCCAGCGCTACCGCATCTAACACAATGCCACCTACCGCTGAATCGCCGTGACACCAAAATATGGCTTCTGCGCGACACACGTTCGCCAAGTGGCGCAAACAACTTTACAAGTGGTTTAATAAAAGTATTTTCACAGTTTATAGTAAGGCAATGCAAGGAACTGCTTTATTTTTCATCCAAGTATGAATGGACACGATTGTCAGCCAATATACTGCTAGAATGTTTAAAGAAAATTTATAGTTTCGTAGTATAACTATTACTACCCAAATTCAGAAAAGAAGAAGCGTACCACACATTTAAAGCTTTAGCAAAATTGCACGCAGAGAAACAACAGCTCTGAAAATTTTTCTACTCAACCAAATGATTTTCATTGAAACGTATCACTGATACCACATGTGGTAAACAGGGGAAGCAGTTTTTGGATTTTCCTAATGTTTCTGACCTACAGCAGCAGAAAATCAGAGCGCTGATAGCAATGTGCAGTGATCATAGGCGTGCGCAGGGTTCCCCTTCAGGGGAGGGGGGGGGGCGAAGTTTTGTCGGAGTGCTCCCTCTTCCCTATTATGTCAGTCTACATGGCTGAATTTGCACACACCCCCCTCCGAGTTGGAATGCCCCCCTCCCTCTTGTTTCAGTGGGTGGGGCTGATTTCGCGCCCCCATTTTTAGGTGTCTTGTGCGCTATAGCTGTGGCGGATGAAGCTTTTACCATAGAAGGAAAAGTGGAACATATTAATTTGCCTCATTATCCCCCAAAGGGTCAAGTTGTCTGGTAAAGTGATTTTAATTTTATTAACTTTTGAGTACCTCGCTCACTTTCATTTCTTCTTGCATTTCTGCCACCGCTGTCTTGCCGATAGAAATTATTTTCGTTCTCCATAAAGTGGGCTGTTCCTGGCACAAAGCACTGCTCCTAGCGAAATGTTGCAATCAAACATTGCTTTTCGCTGCTTCTCTTTTGCAGCACCAGGGTTGCCAAGCATGGCATGCGATTCACCATGCCAGTACCATAACATCATGAATGATTGCAGGCATGATAATTCAGAGTAACAGTGCTAAATTTATATTTTCTCTGAAATTTCAGAAAGCGTATTACGGTTGACAAAGCTTCTGTGATAGGTCCTTTTTGTTAATCACACCTGTTTGTTCCAGAAGCACCCCATTCCACAGAATGCGTGACTGGTGTTCATTGATTGTACTAACACAGCAGAAGCACCAGTGGTGCAAGCAATTAATTCCACAACCTACAAACTGTGCCGAGTTTGGGTTTCTCGAGTCATGGCTGTTGCTCTGCTCTTTTGCAGTTAGCAGCGTTGGCAGAAGTGGCCACAAATAGCGGTGTATGGCATGTATGCCATTGCAGAATAACCAAAGAGACCAGCAAATAAGAATCAGTGGGTTTGTGCAATGCAGCACTCTTGACAACAGACACCACATCTACAGCTCGGTGTGTGCACGCAATTTTCCACAAGCTCTCACGGTTTCCAAACTTATGAACGTGACTATACATGGATATCGATAAAGTGGACAGAGAAAAAGGAGCTGCATGGGGCACTGCACATCCACGAAGTTTTCTTTTCTTCTGGTTTCATGTCCCTCACCCTTGTATTGCAAATTTAACTTTGATATATCTTTTGTTGCTTAAATTTGCAATGGAAGAAAATAACATTTAATTTCTTGTGCTTACACCTTTGGCTTTACTGTCTGTTTCCTTGATACGATATGTACGTAACTAATTTTTTTGTGTTTTTTTGGGTGCCTGCATGCGTATGTGTGTATGTCTGTAACATTGATCTTAAAAGAGACATCAAATGCTTTTAATTAAGTCAGTTTCTTGCCTTTGGTGATATTAATTTTAGCAGTTTGTCTTGAATTAGCAATTCGTTAACTCTTCATAAAATACATTTTGCAATATTTGCACACCCGCAGCAGAGAACCAGTCCCATAAAAGTCGTTTTTTATTGATGTGTGTGTTTTAATTTTGCAGTGCAGTTCAACCCCCCTTTGAAAGGCATGCGCCGGGGAGTAGTTGTACCATATATGAATGTATCCTATAAGAGGAAGCACACGTTCTCATTTTCTGAACAACCTCTAATATTCAAATGCCTGTTACGTCAGTGCCTCTTCTAAAGGAGTTCAACAGTGCTAACTTTATATACTTCTGTATGCAGGAAATTTCATCTGTGATGTTATGCTATCAGCAACTCATTCTGACCTGGCTATCCTCAACTCTGGTACACTGCGGTCAGATCGAATTCATCGGAAGGGGGCCTTCACTATGCGTGATCTGGTCACCGTCTTGCCCATGATGGACTCGCTGATTGTGCTTAGTGCTACTGGTATGAATGGTGGCCTCCATGCCAATCTTTGTTAATCAAAATAAAAAGCAAGCTCTTTTGTTAATTTCACATCAAGACTAATATCACATAGGTAAAAATTTTGAAGGCATTAGTGTGACCGAAATGTGCGTTTTAATTATGTAGTCCCACATCTTTGTACGCTTTGTTGGAAAGTATATGTTTAAGTCATGCAGTTTTGATTACCATTGCTTGTGGCATTATTGTAAACAATATTTATTCCTATCAAATCTCATATTTATTCATATCAAACTACTTATTCAGGAAATCAGGTTTTGTCTTTTCATCCTGCTCAGGGTGATCTCTAGTGTTGCGTAGTTGCTACTATGTTTTTTTGCTACTAGTTGTAGCTTTCAATATTAAAGTGAAAGCTGTTGTGAGATCACAACTCAGGTCATGCACAGTTGTCCGCCGCCGCCGCGGGTGTCCGTAACCACATGGCGCGAAATTAGAAAAAAAAAACAACCTAGCACCAAGGACACAGTGGGGCTCGAAACTCGGGTCTGCTGGGTGCCAGCCCAGTAATCTACCACTGAGCTACACTGGTGCTTGTGACTTGTTGGCAAAACTAGCACCAAAGACACAGTGGGGCTCGAACCCGGGTCCACTGGGTGCCAGCCCAGTATTCTACCACTGAGCTACGCTGATGCTTGTGACTTGTTGGCGAAATTGCCTTAGGCAGGCTTGATGTCGGGAAAGCAATGGCGTTAATACGACTTATAAAGCATTTTAATACGGCAAAAGAACTACCAGTCGTCACACAATGCGAATAGTGTAACGAGTGAGCTGTGCAATGCTCCAACCCATTACAAAAGCTTGTTCTTGTTCCCCTATTAACTGTGGCTCATACCCACTTCAGCCATAATTCCTCACCGTCATCAGCCACTGCGTGAATAATTGGCATGAAATTCCTTGCAAGTGTTTAGAGGATACCACGCTTCTCAGAATAATGACAAAAAATAGCATAGCGAATGCTGGCCTACTACCCAAAAATTTTATGATTAATACCCTAGTGGGTATCAAGCACAAGTGTGCTTGCAGTAGTTACCCAATGAGTGTTTTGAAAAGGCTCTGAAAGGTCGCTCTTCTAGCTTTGACTGTGCTGCGTCTTCCGTGCAGGTCTGGCGTTTTTTTTTTATGCTCTTTTTAATTGGTGTAACAAATGGTCATTTCTGTTTCCCTTACAGGAGACCAAATTTTGCAAGCTTTGGAGAATGGTGTTTCTCAGTACCCCAAGTTGGAAGGTCGCTTTCCTCAGGTATCGGGAGTCAGTTTTGCCTTCGACCCCAAGAAGCCACCTGGCCAACGAATAGATCCCCAGTTTGTGAGAATAGGGGATGAACCTTTGGACAAAAATCAGGTACTTACCGATCTAAAATCTTGGTTATTTCCATAAAAACTTGCATGGTGTTCACCATTAATGCTGAAGGACAGTTTTATGGACTGGATGCAATTTATCTTATAGGCTACACATGAACAAAATTGATTCAAATATTAGCATAAAGTTATGTAATATCAGATCAAATTTTGCAACATAATAATAATAATTCTTAAGATTTAACATTTGAAAACCATGATATGATAATGAGAGATGCTGTAGTAAAGGGCTCCAGAAATTTCGACCTCCTGGGGTTCTTTAACATGCACGTAAAATCCAAGTACATAAGCCTCAAGCATTTTCGCCTCCATCAAATATGCTGCCGCTGCGGCCAGGATTCGATCCCGCAACCAATTTTGCAACTTTGATATCATATGTCTTGTATCGTCTACGAGAAATGATGTCAGTGATATATTGCACCGAATATTGTGGAAACATTGTGCTTTATGCTCTCTGTGAATTTTACTTTTTTGTAATGTTGTGCTCTAGCATTTTATCACTGGCTTGCACAAGTTTCTATGCGCTGTTCTTGTACAGTCATTTACAAAAAAGGACTAAAAAAATACTTGGCTCATATTTACTACATTTTTCTTACATTTTTATAACCTGCTACATCTATTCATTATTTCTACAGTGATCTTGTCATTTAATTGCTATCTTAGTTGCAGCTGCAGGGACAATAGCCAATGAGACAACATATGTAAAAACCTTGATTATAATACTACTGCATGTACAGTCGAATCTCGATAATTCGAACTCGAAGGGGCCTGAAAATTCATTTGAAATTAAAGAAGTTCAAATTAATGAAAGCTAAATGAATTAAGGGCTCACCATGCATTGGCGTATGTGCATTGAGCCAACACATGAGAGGGAAGCTTCAGAAGACTTACATTTATTCACAAATCACAGGACATCCGTCATTAATTGAAGTACTGGAATCGGTGATGCGCGCCTGCACACATTTGCTTTACAGCGAATCAATCAATTTCGCACGCAGTTTGCAAAGCATTTTAACTTTGGCTTCAGCGTTTTCCTGGCAGGAGAAGTAGTGTGAAGCTAAGTCCAGTGCCAACACTCTCTAAAGACGGCGGCAACGACTGCGTCTCTGCTGCTACCCTCTGCTCCGCAGCCGGAGCATGGCCAACACATGACGAGAAAGAAGGAGCGTCTCCACGCGGGGCAAGGAGTAGATCGGGGTTTCAGAGAGAACCAATACTCGACGGCACCTTTTTTTTTTTTTTTGCTCTCTAAAAACATAGAGACCCTTATTCTTTTAACGGGCGGCGCTGAAAGGACAAGGGTCTCTACGTTACGTGGCAGGCACGGGAAAGGGGAAGCGTGGCACTGGTGCATTGTAGATGGGCGAGCCAACTCTCCGCGATAGCTTTCTTTCTTTTTTTTTCCCTCTCTCTCTTCGCGTGCAGCATTGAAAGGAGAAGGGTCTCTACGTGGCAGGGACAGAATAGGGAGAAGTGTGACACAGGTGCATCGCAGATCGGCATTTGAGAGAAAGCAAACATACCACCGCAGCCTTTTTTTTTTCCTTCTTTGCGCACAGCGTTGAGGTGTCAGAGGTGCCGTTGCGGTATTCGGCGTGGTACTGAGAGCATTTTCAGAGCGCGGTATGTTCGAGTTAACCCTCGCAAGTGCTTGGCGTTGGAATTACAGGGCTTTTTCGCCCATTGGAATACACACAGCTTTGACAGGACCACAGCGTGGTTACTGGAAGTTCGAATTAAGCATGTTCGAATTAATGACATTCGACGGTATATGACAAAGTTTAGTAGCTGCTTACATATTTAGCCAAATTAAAAGCAGCTATTTTGATCTTGCAACGACACTGTTTATTCCTGTGAAATATAGGTGTAGCTGATGCACATGATTCATACTATTTATGGCTAAACTAAATTTGAGTTTAGTGTATATACAGAAATAGCTAAAAATGCAAACTGTTCGGGAAACTGTTCGGTTGCCTGTAACCATTCCACCAAGAGGTTGTTGGGCCCAGAATTCAATGACATTAATATGCAGCATTCAAACTGTCCTGTTCTTACTAAAACTTCTAGCAACTCTTTGCTCCCTGCTTATTCCTCTCTTTAAAAGGCTGAGGAGATGATAAAGCTGAGTGTTTGCATTGTCTTTTAAACACTTGTTCCAATGTAATACAGTCGATGTCGGATATATCAAACGGGAAGGGTATTGTGGAATATTTCGATATATCGACAATTTGGAGTACAAAATATGCATATTCAAGGCCTAAATTAAAGCATTTCAGGCCTCGGAAGTGGTTACAAGAGCTAACATAATGATTTTCTCACAGTTTGATGAAGAACAAGGTGTGAACTGCAAGTTACCACACTTTATTTCACATGTAAATAGTCCGTAAACTTGTCTCGCTTCTTGTGTGCCATCAAATTCCAGTCATCCTCAATATTATTAAAAATTTTTAAATAAGCGAATTCAACTCCTTCAGCCTCAACAGCATTGATTGACACGAAACAGCGATGCGAGCTTAGTAGTGCGGCAAATGGTTGGTTAATTAGCGGCGGCAGCGATGGCATATTCATAACCGCATGGGTACACTTCTGCAGCACTGGCAAGGGCAGGCACGATCTAAGCATCGACGCAGTCAGGAACAGCTACGTCGTGATCTGCACCGATAAGTCGCTCACTGCCCGAGATGGTGCCCGGAAACGCTGATAAGTTGCACCGAGGCACCATATGCCAGCGGTCATGATGCACCCGAAGTCGTCACCTGACCCTCAAGCAAAGTTTAAGATGGTGCTCTACTTTACGTTCCTCCAAGCACCAGTGATAACTTTTTATCGCTACATGCGGGTCAACGTTCACTTCAACTCCAGAATGAGAATTTATCAGGAACGCGGCAAAAAAGCGCATAAGACATCGTCGAGTTTCTACAGTCGACATGACGGTGATATCGATATCACTAGGGCCCTTGTAGCTGGAAGCCGCTGCTTTCAACTGCTTTTATGCGAAAAGCTAGAAAGAATGTAGCCTCCGAGACGTGCATTTTAAAATCGAAAACGCCAAAAATACGTCACGAGGCTACACATCTCGAAGTCCAGGCTTTTCAGGCTCGTGTGCTATTGTGTGCTAGCAAGGAAGGGAATGCGAACATTTCAACGAGATTGTTGAGTCACTTCGCAGTCTCATTTTGGTGTCCTCGGCAATCAGTCTTTTTTGGAGAATACTATGCTCGCGCGTTGAAGACCTGCAGATCGCGCATCAAACATACTGGTCTACTCGCAAGCGCCGCGCAACGAACCAGATAAGTGTGATGGAATAATACTGCGATTTCATCAGCCGTGCATGGAAGGGGATCAGAACTTGTTAGAACACGACCAAATATTGATCAATATTTGCTAGTAAAAATGTACTTTCTAGGCTTTGGCGCAATGCTGCTTTTGATATAAGAGATGTCCCGCTGTGCGGGAGTTCAATATGTATACAGGCGCACCCATTCCGTACTTTTGCATAGGAAATTCAAAGGGATTTCTGAACTGTTCGATGTAGCCAATAATTCGATATATCCAAGTTTGATATATCCGGGATCGACTTACACGGTGTGTGTGAGTGGGGTAAAGTGAAGCTATAATTTTCTTGAGTAACTTCTTACCGGGTGCTATTGAAAGTTCAGGCTGTGCATTCGGATGTTGTGAAGTGACCCTGATGGAGTGGTCTGCCATGATCGATAAAAAAAAAAACTTAAGAAGACAGGATTGGGAGCAAATGGAAAGCATAATCACATTTCACACATGCTGGCTGCCCTTTTCATAGTAGCAGCACTCCCTCTCAGTGTTTCAACCAGTATGTGCAAGTGATATTTCACCCCTGCATTTTACCATTTCGGATCCAAAGGCCCATGTGGTGTTTATTTCATGACCCCACCTCTGTTCTCGAGACTCCCTTCATTTCTTGGTGCTCAGCACACTTATAGAGGTAGTTTTTGTATTTTCTGAATTTCATAGGAATGTCTGAGTTTGCATTTCTACTGGTTAGTATTTGCGCGCAACAGGCAGTACATGTTGCGACTAATGGGGAGAGTGGCCTCTCGACAAAAGCATTTTGTTATCATTAGGGTTAGAAGGCATTATTGTTCTCATGATATTTGTTTCTCAGCATTCTACAGCTTGTACAGTCATACCTTTTATCCTCACTGCTTTTTTTTAGACTGCTCTTACTGCTGTGTGTTTTCTTGAGTGAGCATGTACTGCATTCGTGTGTTCTTTCCACGTCTTATATGTATGATTGACAATGATGTTTTTTCAGTATAATGTGAACGCATACAAAATGATGTTAAAAATATTTTCTCTCTTTTTCTTATTGTTTGAAACAGAAATATAGATTGGTTACAAAAAACTATCTTGCTCAGGGAAAAGATGGCTATGATGTGTTCAAGGAGTGTGAAGTCTTGGTGCGTATGTTTATATTCCTCCATTTATTCGTCTCTTGCATTGGTGGTATGTCGATACCCCCAACAAGGGCAGTAAAAGCACAGAAAATCTGTATCTCCTGTAAAATGCTCTTACATTTAAAACTGAATCAGGAAACAGAGAATAACATGGCTTGGTAAGGAAATTCAAGCGACAGAAAGCAATACAGATTAGTAAGACTTTAGTAGTATAAAACAGTGCAAGTTAAAAAGATTCATGACTGTAAAATCAAGCTTTAATTAAATGTCAGACGTAATAGAAATCAAAAGTGATAGCCCAAACATTGCTTATCAGCTAAAAAATGTAGAGTACTATTATAGTATAAATGAAAGCGGGCAGGACTATGTTCATGTGCTTGAAGCAAAGCCCGTGTAGCATGTGCATGCAATCAAGGGATATAGCTGTTCAAGCATGGCACTTTTTTGATCTGAATGAAAATTAATAGATAGTTTATGATTAAAATACTATGCTACAGTTATATGGACAAAAGGAGTTCGGGAGGACACATGTTACAAAGTGGACACAACAAGCACGAACTATCAACTGAATTTATTGAAAATGTTAACTTTTCTAGCTTTACTAAATAGGGCATTTTTTGACCATAAAACACATCTTTTCTGTGTCTAAATTGAATCTCACTGTTTTTTGATTTTGGGTGAACCACCATATTTACAATCATAGAATGAAAGACTAGATATATCCTGCTAGGATTTTGCCTATTTACATGTTTCATAAGTATCCAGTGTAGTCAAATGGACAGACTGCCCTACATAGACTACTCCAGCCTGTAAATCTATAGAGTTGTTAGTATAGTATGTGTTACTAAAAACTTATGAAGTTAATGCTATGCAGAGAAAGCTGAATGAAAAGAAATTTGATAGACGTTATATAAAGCATGGTGCTGTGTCAGAGTAGATTTTATGTCAGTCTGGATAAATCAAACTCAAAAAAAAAAAAAAGAATGAAATAAGTGAGGATGAATTTATCAAGAATTCAAAATACAAAGTACGCATACAACTGAACCCCTCAATAATGAAAACTCTCAAGAACGAAATTCTCACAACAATGAAGAAATCTGGCTTTGATGCTGAATGTCCATGGAGTTCCAATGCATTTGCTCCTCTCCACGATGAAGAGATTGAAAAACCACACCCACAATAACAAAAGTTTTTGGCACTGGTCCGCGACATCTTTTTCAACCCATGAGCTTTATGGTAAGCCAGAAGTTCAAAAATTGCAGCAGCACTCATTTGACAAGTGGGGCCCATAAGCTTCTGCCATCAAGCATCGGTGTGACCATCGTGGTTTACATTTGGCAAAGTGATGATGATAGCAACGTGACTTCTTTTTTCTGCTGAGAACAGTTTTTCACTGACACCCCTAGTGAATACTGCGTCGGTGTATGAGGTTTCAAAACCCAGAAAAGTGACGTAATGCTGACAAACATCTGCGGCATGTATCTCTATATGCACGCTGGGATCTCCTGTGCCTTGTTTACATATAGTACTGTTTGGCCTTTCGAAAAGATATTTACTATTAAAAAGTGTAAGGTTTCGACGATTCAGGAGAAGTTCAGAATCATCCCCAAATTTGCAAAACGAAGAGAAATGGCAGTTATTGCTGAGGAGTGGTCAATTAAGCTGTGGTGCTCGACATGTAAAGCTCACTAAGAGCAACGTAAAACAGAGCAAGATTGGCAACCTTCTTAAATAAATTTTCAGCCTTCAAAGTAATTGGTGTGCATATTTTTGTATTTTTGCAATATTGAAATTCTAACAGGAACGCACAAAGGTTGCTTCCCCTGCAGTTTTGTTATTGAGGGTTTCAACTGTATCTAGAACAGGAACGTCCTGGGCTAGTATTCTCATATTTCTAGTGTGTGATCATTGTGCTTGGAAACAGAATGGTTTTTTTACTGACATTTTTGTATACATGCTTACTTTATTGCAGAGTGCTTGAAAGGATTACTCTTACTCTTGTTTTCTTTGCTGTAAATATTTGACAATCATTCCCAGCTAAATTCTTTCACTTCAATTTGGAGGTGAATGAAAGTTCTCTGTGCACATAGTGCAGTGCTATGCTGTTGTATAGGATTTCCCAGTGCATGTTTAAACTCCTTGATACAGAATTTGACATATCCAAATTCAATATATGTGGTTTCATATATATTCCAGCCATTATATATACTTTCATGTTGGGCAGACTAGTCAAAGCCTCAACCTTAGTTTAGTTTCAATGAGCACAACCGGGATCAGGTGTGCTGATAGGATGCTATTTAAGGTTTTGTCCAATCATTGCAATTGTACTCTTAAATTTGTAGAGAGTCAACTTCTATTACACGATCATGTTGTCCTTTGTGAGCTCACAGTATTTTATATTTGACATTTATCGAATGATTCCACAATCGTGAACAGGATAGTGGTGGCCCATGACTCGGGTAACCACTTCAATTCATCCTACAGTTCTTGTAAGTACATAAGATGCCCAAAACACTTGACCTCTACTTAAACAAGTGAGGTAACTTTTGAACATCAAAAGGGCACCCTGGTACCCTTTTTTTTTTCCACTGACACTGCATGTTCTGAAAAACGTTGTTTTTCTATCAATGTCATAGCGATGATGGCAATGGCAGCTGTAAGGCTGGCATATAGTATATTTATCCTTTCTGTTCTGCTGTATTTGGTATAAAGGAATTTCACACTCACAGATGCTATTGCACACCCTGTTACAAATTATTGAAACCGATAGTAGGCAAAGAAGCCAAGGAAGGCATAAAGGAACATTATTAAGGTGAAAACCTTAGATGCCTCTTTAAACACGAGAATTGACTTGTGTCCCACATCGCAGTCCCCCATCAGTAAACGTCACCACAAGTGATGCAAAAAATTATCATGTGACAAAATCACCGTGATGTCACTATGTGATGCCATCACATGACATTGCTTGGTCAAAGGTGGGTTGATCTTGGAGGCAGTGCGAATCAAGGTGAGGTGCTGAAGCTTCCGATCTTTGTGGCATTGCAAAATCAGGTTAGTTGAATAAAGCTTCCAAGGGGGTCGATGCAAGGACTGGTTGGAAAGGAAGCTGTTGGTGACGTTCCTGATAGCCCACTGATATGTATGCGATTCCAAACCTGTAGCCTAATATATACGTAATCTTTTGTGTAGTTACATCGCTGCATCTGACACCTACAACTTATTTGCATATTTACATTGCTCCCTTAGGACCTAACACACAAACTTGTAGTATGCATTGTCACTTCATGAATATCGAGCGGTAAAGGTACTGAGTATATGTGAAACAAGAATCTCTGCCTAGCAGAAAAAGAAGATGGCTTTTGCCTTTGAGTCAACTGAGGCAGATGCATAAGGGACCCTCGGAGTCTTCATAGTCTTTTTTAAATGCGTTGTAGGAATTATGATATAAGTGTGAAAAAATTGAAGTGGATGAAAATATAACTTGGTGCCAGCAGAGACCTGATCCTGCAACCTTCAGATAACACATTCGATGCTTAAAGGGACACTAAAGTCAAATAACAATTTATGTCAAAGTGAAAGCTCAGTGTATGGCATCTAAAATGACAGTATTATCAACAGAAGTGCCCTATTTAACGAGAAATTAATGTTGAATTTCAATGGCGGAGTCACAGCAAGTTTTTCTGCTCCTTTTGGGGCAAGTGTGTTCCAGTGGCAGAGTGAGAGCGGGAGTCGAGTGTTCCATTGAGAGAGCTGGTGTGGATTCAGAGAGGAAGTGACTTCGTGGAGCAGGAAAAGTTGCTCCACTGAAATCGGAGGAGTGGAATGGAACTCGGCGTACTGTACTACCGTTACAATGACGGCACGGGGTGTTCGACCGCTGTGTGAATGACCCCTAATACATTCGCCCGCTTGGGGGTGCCGCCGCTGTCACTTGTTTTGGCAGTAATGGTGGACGACATAGCCGACTGGGCAAATCAATTCGTCACAGAGTGACAGGCAACGACCGCGTACGAAGAATTCGACAGTGGAATTAGCGGGATGGAATACTGCACGCAAGTTATGAGCAACTCAAAGACTTCCGCTTGTACCTTGCTCCCCATATTTGCTCAGGCAGTGCGGATTGTGTTCGAGTCGCGGATTTGGAGGTGTTGCTCTACGCCAGAGTCGAGGGCTCACTGGCAAAATTCGTCGGTTGCTCCTACTCCCCCATTGGAACTCAACGTAAGGTAAATGCATGAGAACACATGCTCCACAAGTAGGACATTCGCAAAATGATCCCGATGACATTAGACTTACTGCCTACAATTAATCACTAGTAATTGAACTAGCTGCACTAAATAAAGAACCTTCCATGAATCAAAAGAGGTAATAAAATGGTGTTGTTCGTTTCTGTTTGATTCATGAAAAAAAGAACCGCCGGACGTTACTATAGAGAACGGCGCGAGTGGCTCAAAAGTTCAATTTTCGCCTGGTTAAGCTGGAAAGGTCTTGCCATCTAGTGGAGCGCAGATCAACCAAGCACGCCTACCATCATGGAGGCCATGGCTAAAAATTGTTCAGTGGCCGTTGTTGCTGCTGTGGCTCCCGCTACTTTCGCTCTGCTGCTCAGTAAAGTCAGGCAACGGTGGCCGCTCAGTAAAGCCAGGCAAGGTTGTGCACAGCAACAGTGACGTAAGACCGCCACTTTCAGGTGGGGGGATCTGAAATGCGCTAATGCGATGTGTACCACTAAAACGAGATTTTATTTCAAAATAAGCATTTCCTTGGCACAAAAGTAGCACTACCAGGTTTCTGGACCACTATTTCAGCAACTAACATCGACTTAACAGTGTTTCTTTAAGGTTGTGGCTAACAAACAAAAGCAAGCCCTTAATATTCCCCTTTTTTCATTAATTTATAGCAAGGGTCTAGTTCAGGCAGACGTGATGCCTTCTCGCTAATATGTGAGAGCTTATTGGTCAGATTCCAGCTACTAAAAAGATCATGGGCTACCGGCCGCCAGCTGGCAAAAAAAAGTGTTTCACACTTGCCATCATGGGTGCGAGTAGGACTAACACTCCCAAATTTGCATGGACAGATATACCTAATCAAGTGGGCGGGAGAACGACCGCTGCCATAGCTCACTTGGTAGAGCATTGGACAGATTATTCAAAGGTTGCAGTGTCGGTCCGTGCCGGGAACAAGTTGTTATTCCTGGCAGAGATCAATCCACTTTTAATTTATTCACACACGTACTACTCCCACTCATATTACTCACGCTCATAATTACTTCAGTACAGTTAAAGGACTACAAATCATGCCCCGTGTACCTTTTTTGGCTTCATTACTGTTGGTTTTTATTAAGATTGTGTGTAAAAAGAAAATGAGCCCTTAAAATTTCTATTCTTTTGTTCCTGCTACATGTTGTCACACATGCGGCAGTCGTCTCGTATGGCTAGTTGGTCTGGGCACGATTGAAGTATATATATATGTGCAGTCATGGCTTAGTGATTAGAGCATTTATCTGGCAAGCTTACAGATCAAGGTTCATTTTTATCACTGGATGCATAATATAATTGTTTTTTTAGCTTTATCTGAGTGTTTGGCACATAAATCTATTTTTTTTAAGCTTGAAGTATTCACCTAGACAACAGGAGCATCTAGCAGCCATGTTCGTGAAAATTTTGCAGGACACACAAAAAAAAAAAGCTGCACTTTATTACAGAGATCATGCATTTTTACTGCTTGTTTTGTTCCGAAGTTTCTCTGGATTGGCCGAAACTTATTTTTCTAGAAGATACGTTGACACCTTCACTGTTCTCTTAATGCTATCGAGACAGGTACCGAGGGGGGAGGTCACAATTTTGATTAAGCACATGTGTGTTAATAATGTGCAGTTTGAATGGATGAATGAGTGGGGCTAATTTTAGGATCAAAATAACAAGTGCTAGCCCAGGGCATTGTATAGGTCCAGGTGGAGGCCTTTGTTTGGATTAATATTAAATGAAAAGTGCAATTCTATAATTGAAATTCTATGATTATATAGAGCTGAATTTATGTAAATCCACTGTTTTAAAGTTATATTTCATGTGCAAAAGGAAGAACAGTGAAAATTTAGGGGCTTTATTTTTTTAGACACAGTATTAATGAGAACTTACAGACATAAATGCAAGGGAAAGTATAGAGAATGATTCTATTAGTGATTGTAATGTAAACGTGAAGAAATAAAAGGGCACGAAAAGATAACTTGCTACTGGTGGGGACTGAACCAGCGACCTTTAAATAACGCATCAAATGCTGTACCAACTCAGCTACTTTCCACTATGAGATGGTGAGTGTGGTACGAGCCCTTAAATTGACACTTCCTTCATTTATAGCAAAGGTCTCGTTCTGGCAGATTTGATACCTTCAGGTGGTACGCGAGGAATTATTGGTCAGCTGCCAGCTTGCATACCTGCCAAGTCTCCCGGATTGGCCGGGAGACTACTGGATTTGGACCGTTTCTTTGATTTGTACGGTTGTCATGAAAATTTCCCGGAAATTGAAATTTTTGTGCCTGATCCGGCCGCTTTGACAAAAAAAGCAGCTCAATCCGTTTCAGGCTTTTCGAACCTACCCATTTTATTATGAATGAGTTTTAGAAGCGTTCATCTAAACGTACAGTAAAATCTATGCGAAACCGCAACAGAGACGAATTCGTAAAATTCTTCAGCGAAATTCTACTATGTCTATTGGGTCTAAATTCGAATGATCCGAACACATTTCCTAATCCCGGCGGGTGATACGAACTTTAGTACAAAAATTGTTGAATGAAGGCCGAGAGCAGAGTATTTGAAGCTTCGGAAGTACGCCTGCGACCGGCGCACGCACTGCCTTCTACAGTGTGGGTGATTGTCGTTGCCACAACCGCTGTCGACGAAATCGTGGTCGCTTTTCACGCGATCTTGTATAACTGACAAGAGTCCCAAAAGTGTGCGCCCATCGAACGCTCAACCAGTGCACGGGGGTTGAAAAAAGGAACTACCATGTGCCGCAACCGTCGCGCACAACATCGTGGTCGCGGCGGCGCGATAGCGATTTACGAGCTCCGAGGACATGCAGCGGTAGACTAAAGGTAGTAAATGCATAAAAAAGTCACAGTTTCGCCGCAAGGGCGAAGCAATGAATGCGACAGGAACAACTTGGAATGTCACACTGAGAACGGCAAGCAGATCGAAACTTGCAGCGCGCTGCTCAGCACAAATGAGGCACGAAAACAATACACACAAGATGAGAGCAAACTAACTGCATTTACCGCTCGACACGTAACGCGCTTTTTAAAGAATAAAAAAGCGATGCTCGAAACATAATCAAAAGTACGGATGAGTACAAACTAACAACTGTCCCAGTTATGTCTCGTTGTGCATGAAAAGCGCGCTCTTTTCGCAAACGGGGCCTGTGCATAGACCGAAGATACCTTTGTGGGCCCGGCAACTAACCCAATTGTTCCAGTGAAAGCCGAAGGCACACGATTCTCCCCACCGAAAGATAAGCGCGTGCACAAACATAAACTCCCCCCCCCCCCCCCTTATCTGCAGGGCAGCTGGGCACCTAGTGCGGGCGGCTTTTTTTTTCCTTTCCAGAGTGTTAATATATACATAGATATATACATATACGGTGAATAACGGCGGCGACAGCAAAAAACCAGCCTAGACTGTCAATAACAAAGGGGCCAGACGCGTTTTGCCGTTCCTGTCAAAAGAATCTAGTAGAGAGCAAAGATTTGACCCGCGCTTTTGCGGCAGCCAGCTGCGCCGTCACGTTCGTTCATGTGTGCCCCAGTAAGACATACACGAGCTGTTTTGATGGAAATAAATTCTACAAGTTGTGTTGATCCTTTGAGATTCTCGTCTTAGTGGGAAACCCTACCTTTGTGTGTTCGGCCACTTCAAGCCGACTGCAACGCCGATGTTTGCGCTTGCGATTGAAACTCTCGACGCCCTCTTGTTTTTCGTGATGTTTATTTGTTTGTTTCTCCTTGGAGGTTTTTTTTTGGTGCCGAAAAAAAAATAGGAGCAAATAATTCAGTACCCCCTCCCCCTGCTGCAGAAAATTTCCCGGATTCAGAATCCTTGAACTTGGCAGGTATGAGCTTGTAGTAAGGTCATGAGCTACAGGATGCCAATAGGAAGAAAAGAGTGTTCCACACTCGCTGTCATGGCTACTTGGGATGCTTGTATACTGACACTCCCATGTTTAAATGCACATATATACCCCATAAAGTGGACGGGGGGTATGACCGCTGCTTTAGCTCGGATGGTACAGCATCAGATTTATTCGAAGGTCGCATGTTCGGTGCCTACCAGCAGCAAGTTATCTTTTCGTCCACTTCGTGGCACCATTGTCTGTTAGTTCCCATTTCATGTGAAGGAATTAAAAGTATGCTTTTGGGGATGTGTCATATTGATAAATCTTGTGGCGCATGTGTTGATTGATTGATATATGGGGTTTAACGTCCCAAAACCACTATATGATTATGAGAGACGCTGTAGTGGAGGGCTCCAGAAATTTCGACCACCTGGGGTTCTTTAACGTGCACCCAAATCTGAGCACACGGGCCTACAACATTTCCGCCTCCATCGGAAATGCAGCCGCCGCAGCCGGGATTCGAACCCGTGCGTGGCGCATGCATAAACCAGCCTTTGATTGTACTACATTGAGGGGAACTAATATACATGAGCTATAACACTGAATTACAGTCATTTTGGGCTTTGTTGTGAAGATTGGCAGCACACATGAATAAATTCTGAAAGGCTAACTTGACCTATTTTGTACTGTCTGTTCTTTTTTCTTTACAGTTGAGAGACGATGAAAGCCCTGAATTGTGCACAGCCGTGCAGAATCACTTCCAAGCAGTCCGCATCCTCACTGGTGTGGCCCACCCCCGCACACACCACCGCCAGAGTTTGGTCTGCCTGTCTCGACGGTATGCTGGTTTTTACATTTGGCACTTTTTTCAAGTATTACGGTGTGAAAAAAAAGTGATGTATCAAGACTGGCAATTTCATACTTCTGTGTAACTAGTGTGTTCGGTCTAGGTTTGATGTAGAAGGTTTAATACTTTTCTGATGTACCCTTTGTGTGTGTGAATTCATCTCTGCTTTAAATGCTAACTCTCATGTTACATCTTCAGAATGAGCAGTGTTATGTCATGATGCTACTCTCACTGTAAGTCGAAGCTTATAATTTGCTTTATCCACAATAACTCAGTGCTGCGGGACACTTGAGCTATATGTTTCCATGCCACCACCACTTGTAATGTAGAAACTGTAGAAACGGCATGCCACCAGCATCTGAAAGAGTGGTGGCACTGGGAAGTCGCGATCGTCAGGGCTCTGTTTCTGTGGCAGCATGGAGAGAAGCCAAAAAGACTGTTGTCTTATAAAAGTGAGATCTGCTATAGAATTTGCCATCTTTGAACTTTTGCATGAAATTCTGACAGCCCTTGAATGCTACTTAATCGCACATGTAGACACGTGTCGTGAATGTCATCTTCTCTTGAAATTGTGATGAAATGTATCAGCTCTGAAAAGATGCACGCATGTTCAGCCATGTTGTGCTGCATAAGCGTCACCTTCAGGTACCTGCTGGGCTATCTTATGAAGCTCTCTCTTTCTGTGGCGATAAGCTGAAGGAGAAAAGCTTGGACATAAGTGTAAGATATGTTTATGAAACACATTAAGGTGCAGAAAGCTTGAGGGCAAGAGATAATAAGTATAAGTGTGGTTTTTAAATGCGGGTCATAAAAGTCGGTTCAATCTCAAACAGCTTGAACAGTGTATTAAATGGCTTCTTGTTGAATGAGTGCATGCCACAATAAAGCACTCTATTCAAGTCTGAGGACTTGGCGAGTCACAATGATTGAGCTTATATGTCATGAATTAAAATAAATGCACTGTTTGCTAATTGGTAGGTTGCTTTCACTCAAAAAAGTTCTTCAATAGGCAGGTGTTGCAAAGCAACCCAGAGGGCTTTAACAGTGCAAGCATGTTTCCAGAAAATGAATAAAGGAAGTCGGAACTGAGTATATATTTTTTTTCAATTCTATAAAGACACAGTCTTGTGCGAACTTGTGAAGACGTCACCATGAAGCCACCGTTGAAGCGAGGTCTCAGCCTTGATGCATCAGCAAGAAGGGGGCTGTTTCGCCAGCGGCAAACTTCGCTTGAAGACGTTGAGCACGAGACATGCAAAATGGAGCCGAAGGTTGAGAACCGCATAGTCATTTTTACAGAAGAAGTAAGCTTTTTATTCTGTCAGTTTCTATAATTTCTGTACTAGTGAAGCCACTATACTTGCAGGCAAATTTTATATGTCTGCTACAGTCTTGATAATTAACATGCAACGAATTATAGCATATAGTGCCATCTTGCCACTGGTTGCATGCTTGAAATTATGAAATTTTGTTTGTGTCACCATGTAAGGTTGGAAAGTATAGTCAGAGCATTTAATATTGTACAAGTGTGAAGCCTTTATAATGGGGTGTGATGTCCTTAATATTTAAATTTTTAAGAATAAACAGTGCACGACCAAGTGGATAACTTTCTCTTTATTCTCTCATTTATGAAACAGTTTTTTTGTGTTTATAATTTGTGCAAATATTATGTGTTATGCTGAGCACCTATTAAGCATGCAGTAATACCCTGCATATACTGCACCAGTTGCTGTTAGCAACCACTATGTGTCCTGAATGCAGTCAAGTCTGGTTGCTGGTAATCATGCTATGCCTAAATACCTAGGAAGGCTGGCCATGGTGCACCTGATGTTGTTTTTTTCAGGACACCAAGCTGTCAGAATACAACAGCTTGTGTAGGAATATTGCCTGGAGGGTGCTGGTGTGAACACAGTACAGTAGACTCTCATTAAACACAACCCGAAGGGACCAGGAAAGTAGTATGTTCCATTAACAGGAGTTTCGTTTTCGGAAAGATGAACATCGGTGCAGAATACAAGTATAAAAGAAATCAGGGGTAGTTCTATTTAAGCAGTAGTTTCGTTTAACAGATTTCTGTCTACTGAGAGTCTGCTGTATATGCAAAAGCATGCCCTTTGTGCGCAACAGACTTATCACCATTTTTTGACCATGTCGATGATAAAATAAACATTGCAAGATTAAGTTCTTGCTGTCGATGTACAAGGCTTGCTCTTTTTTGCCTATTTCGATTATCTTTACAGGCACGAACAGAAACAGGGCATGCACCCTAAGTTCTAGCTGCTCACTCTATTCTTACAGTCGGCTAACGTTCACACGAGATATTGAAATGCTTCTTAATTTTCAGCTGTGGTGCAGGACTATATTTTTGATATAGGTAAAATTTTAAGAAGTATTCTGTAGGAACAAATTATTCATTAGGTATTTATTTTATTTTATTAAATTTGCTTATTAGGTGCTTTGACTGAAAGATGGTGCATTGTCTATCAATGGAGCAGTAGCCATGTGCTGTTGTGGGACATGCCAGTACTGCCCAACTTCCTGTATTCAGATTGGTGTTTTATGGCTTCTTCACATTTTCCCTCCTTGTGTATGGCGCAACACTTCAGTGGTTCCGGTCGGGCTCAGTTCCCTGGAGCCTGAATTACAACTATCCACAGTGCAGTTAGACTGGTTTCAACTGTGAACCACTGAGGTGAACCCTAGATCTGAGCATGGCAGCTCTGGCTGAAACTTATCTCTATTTGCTTGTTCTCCAGTGCAAAAATTTTTGCTTATACACCAGCATGCAAAGATTCTGATCTGATATGCTTCCGATTATGCATGTAAAAATCCTAATAGTTCGTTGCTTGGTAGATGTTAGTTTTCAACCATATGTGTCTTTGTTTTTTATTTTGAAGCAGTTAAATATCTTACAGCCGTATCTCTCTTTTAAGCTATCTTATAGGCATAAAGCACTTTCTTTCTGACTTGTAACTTATAGTGTCCCTGCGTGGAGCCTCCCTCTTTTTTTTTCTGTTTCAGGCAGTGTTTGCAGGTAAAAAGGTAAAAGAAAAAGGTTGATAGGTGCATCATATGGATTGAATGCAGTACTATGTGCAGAATGCTGTTTAATAAAAGGGCTGACTATTTTATAACCTTTCTACCTAATATAATCTGCTGGTTTGTCTTCTCTGAAATTTCTAACAGAGAGTGCATTGTTATTGGGGTTTATGAAACAACTGGGATTTCAAGTGTGGATTGAACATTCTTTGTTTTTACTACCATGATCTTCTGGCTTGTTTTCACTGAAATTTCTCTCAGAGGGTCTATTGAAATAAGGGTTTGTAAAGTATCCAAGATTTCAAATGTGGATTGAATATTCTTTATTACGCGATGAACATTTCATTTCTGAAATAACTGTGTAAAATGTTTGTAAAATTATTTCTTATAAATAAAATAGATAGCAACACAAAGTGAAAGCCCATTGCAAGTGGGGACTGTTCCAAATGATAACCCTGAAAAGCCAGTTTTTCAGCACACATGCGAAATAGCTAGCATTCTGCGATGTGATGGTTTCCAGTCATTCAGTAGGGATTTCTTGTATTTATGCAGCCTGAAAATTTGTTGGTTAGATTTTGGTGGACTACTTCACTACTTGGACAGTCTCACTGTGCCTACAGCTCTTTAAAGCAGTGTGCAGTGGTGTAGTACCTTGTTTCTTCCAACAAGCACAGCACTCATATGTATCTAACAACGTGCTGTCCTACCACCGGAGCCCTAGTGTTTATGGCACTCGACTGCTGAGCCGCAGGTCGTGGGAACGAATCTCAGTCACTGCGGCTGCATTTTCAATGGAGGTGTAAATGTTTTTGGCCCATGTATTTAGATTTAGGTGCATGTTAAAGAACTCCCGGTAAGGATAATTTACAGAGCCCTCCACTACGCTGTCTCTCCTAATCATATCATGGTTTTGGGACGTTAAGCCCCAGATGTTATTTTTATTATTTAATGACATGCTGTTCTATTTTATTGTTTAATTACTTTCATTACCTTGGTAGATAGTACAGGTGAAAGCAGTAAATTATTTACAAGTCTCCTCAGTTTCAGGTGCATCAAATATTGTAAAAATGTTTTTATTTTACTAGAATGACTCTGTGCAGTCTTTTTATCATTGTAATTTTTTTTTCAAGAAAGAAAATCATATTTCATGTACCCCATTGAAGGCAATGAAAAACTTCAATGAGGAAGCTGCGTATGACCAAATGGGAAGATGGCCATCAATGGGGAACTTTAAGATTATTTTATTTCATAGAACAAAAATTGTACTGATAAAACTTGCCATATAAGAAGAACTACTCGCTTCTTACTTATTCGGCTTGTGGAAACATTAGCTGCAGCGACACGACATGTTCACGAATTTTTTCTTCGCTTTGATATTTGAAGGCACCCCTAATATCGATAATCAGTAAATCTGAAAGCTTTCTTGGCTGTTGTTCTGGCCTTATTCACTTATGACTCTTTTGTCATGTTTTGTTAGTTTTTCTGGTTGGCTGATATGATAATGAGTTTGATGCATGCATTTAAAGCATGCGTTTATGCTTGTCGCTGAACATGCTGGTGTGTTTATATGCCCCCATTCTGTACACTGTCTTTTTTATCTAATCCATGAAAACCGGTACTTAGTGCTCCTTTGTTGACTTGTGAGGAGAGGGCAAAAATCTTGTTGCAATATGACGCATTTTCCATTCAAGAGTCATTTTCTGATGATTCTTTGCAAGGTGCCGAAGGCAAAAGGCACATCTATTATTCTTTTCACAAGATCTTACCACATTCACTTCCTGTATGTCTTCAAAAGGGGTTTACAAAATTCCAAATAGATATTCTGCTGCTCCTGAATTTGTTGAACTGTTATTTTTAAGTTTGGATATGGTGATTGGCTTCACCTAAAATGCTTGTTTTAGCATTTGTTGGGCTTTTGCTCCTGCTTCTCCCAATTGAAAGCAAAACTTCATCTTACTTACTATTCTTCATTCTTTTTGTCAACCACCTCAGCTATTATGTAACAGTGGCAGAATACTGTTTCAAAAGCATATGGTTTAAGTTAAACTGAAGCATAATTTCACTTTGGCGAAATTGGTTTAATACACCAACACTACCGTAGTATGAAACTTGTGGTGATCATAGTATCTTATAATATCTTATAAAATGTGCACTTTTTGAAATGTTGAAACAGCCTTGTGTTAAGCACCTTTGTCACAACTTTAGACACTCTCTGCAGTACCACAGTTCACGAAACACTGAGGCTGATTGGTACATTTAGTCACTCAGCATGAGCAGTGCACTGACCATGTCTGTTCCACAGATAATTTCATGCTTTGGATTTCAACTCAAGTCAGAACATTGATTAAAACTTGTGACTCATCACGTGGTTGGCAACAAAAGTTGAAGCTTCGAAAGAAGTAGAAAAGAAGCACCTTTTTCTTTGCTGCAGGGATTACTGCAGAAGAAGGTTCTTGGCATGTTTACAACTAGTAAAATTAGCTTCCAGCACTGTGATATGGCATGTAGAAGCCGACCAAGATGTCAGGATAAACTTCTGCTTCAAATCAAGCTACAAAAAAATAACTTTGTTCATATCATGTTGCATCTTTATCTGCTTGGAAAGTGCCTCATTGAATGTGTCGTCTTGAGCAGGGGCTGAACAGGCAGTATCTCTGTCGTTAAAAACATGACTTGGTGCATATGTGCCAAGCCTGAAATGAGCATTTCTAGAAGCTGTCTTTTATCATTACAATGTGCTACACATTCTCAAACTTAAGCAATGCAAGCAATAATTTTCAAGACTTCTCTTGCTCACAATGTCAACTTAAGCGCTATTGATGGCTCTCACAAGCAATACTTTACCATCAGTTTCTTATCACTGTCACCTTTTTTATGTTAAAAGACAGGGCATGTAAATATGGACACAAGAGATATGTGAAGACACCACGAATGCCAACTAACAATTAACTGTCTTTTAACATTAATATGTAATAGCTCATCTCTCTGTTGTTCTATGACCCTTTGACCACTAATCTAGGAATTTGGAGATGACACCTCACTGCTACAAAACAAAGATTGCCTTCATTTTTCCTCAGAGCAACTAGTTAAATAAATTAATCGTCTTGTCTCATAAAAAGTGCAAAACTAGCAAATAATCTTCAAAAGCAACATAGGCTTTATTCAGAATAGGGTCACCAGTACAGTCAAATTCGCTTATGACAATACAGGTTTTGAGATTATATCGTTTATAGCTGCTCCACCGTCAACTTCAGTATGTTTTCTATGGTGAAATGACCCATCTGGAGAAATGCACTCAGGCCGCATTATCGGTTATAACTAGTTCTGGCCATATAGTGTTCATTCTGAAACGTAATGTAACACGAAATCTTTGAAATGAAAGAAGGAAATCGAGAAATTCAAGCTGCTGAATTTCCGGCCACAACCTCGAATGTATACTAGGACTCTTTCGAATTTTCGGTATTCTTCACCGCATTGCTCAGTGACATTGCGGCAAAGTTGACCTTTAAATTCTGCTACGCCACGGGAGTTGCCAAGGCTTGTTAAAGCATGCTATTTGACTACAAAGTTGAGACTTCAAAAAGTTTTGGCGTCTAAGCATCTGAATGTTTAAGCATTCCATAAGAATCGGCAGCTTTGTCATCCATTTCACTGATGTCAGTTGGCATATCCCGTCTGATATGATTTTCTCATAACAGCCTACCATCCCCCATTTCGTTTTTTTTTTCATGTACTAACCCATTTATAGAAATTGTCAGTTATAACTATGAAATATTAGTGGCATTTGAGTTTGTTATAAGTGGGTTCAACTGCATCATGCATTATTGTACAAGCGCGATTGGAGTGCAGTTGAATTAAATATCTGCATTCAACTGAAAATTTGTCTAACAGTCAAATTAGTGATTGTGAGCACCACCAAAAGTACTTGTTTTGGCTTTTACTTTCTGGCTGTAGTTTTTCAAGAAAATTACCATCGTTAATCTTTGCATGTATTGGTGTAAGGACTGCGCCCCCAGCTTTAATAAAATTGCTTTAAAGCCTATGGACTTGTAACTTTACTCGCAATTATGTGGTAATAGGTTTACCATGCCTCAGTGCCCTTCCCTTGAGTATGTGAAAGAAGACAAGGTTTTACTTTACTTTGTTGCCTCTATTTTGTTTCAGCAGGTTGTGAAGAAGTTCTGGGAAGACAGTGATTTACATCCACTGTGTCTTGTTGAGGAAGTGATTGAAGAAGAGCCTTCGACGGGAAGCTTTGAGAAGAACTAGAAGACATGAATTTCGGTTCACTTGCATTCTCTCCAGTCCAGAGTTCACATTTTGTGCACAGCTTAAGATATAGCACAGTTTTGAAAGTTTGAATGGATATCTTTTGGCACCGGTGCATTTGCCTAGGTTGCAAGCAAGACCTTTCAACACTGTCACTTTAAATTTGTTGTTGGGTAACTAAGCCTCGTACATCATAAGGCAGTGCAGATGTGGTAATTAAGTACAGAGGAAAAGTGCACCTCTTTCAGTATACGTAGGAACAGTGTGGAGAGGCAGTAATCAAATTTGCGTTTCATGGCTCTGCTTGGCACTAATTTCTTAATGATGGCAAACAAAAAGCACTGTAATTTGTCATCCTTGAAAACTTTGGTACTACTTGTTCTACAAGTGCCATCACTTGTGATTTAGACATTCCTCTAATGGTAAAAAGAATGCACTTGATTTATAGGGAAGTAAATTAGTTTTTGAAGATATAAAAATGGATGGGGAAGAGTTAAAGTATGGAACCGATTCATGCCTGAACAATATATATTACCCAAATGAGGTGAAGAGGGTAAGGGTATGCCCACTCATACTTAAACAATATGCTGGTTTTACTCATCACTTTTATTTTCCTTCAGTTATTGAAAAGTGTAATTTGATAAAGCATTGAGCTTTGGCTCTCCTGTATAATTTAGTTTGTTGAGAATCTCTTAATATTTTATCATAATTTTAAACTCCATCATTTATTGTTTTACTATTTTTTTCTTAACCACATCCACATTAAAGCCTGCCCAACACACTAACTAAAACAAAATTTATAGCATATGTGAGTTGGTTTGAACATATAAATATGGCCACTATGGTTAGTAAGCAAAAGATTAGAGGTTGTGTGTATTTTGTCTGCTGGTTAGAGAAGACCCTGTGTGGCAGCCATATGGTTGTTGCACTTCTAATATTTTAGAAAATGGGCAGGAGAAAAGAAAACACAAAACATAACTGAGTATATTGAGTCTATGCAAGTTAGTTGCACAATTTTAGGTTGTGAAAGTGTTCCAAGTATATTTTTTCTTATTTGCACTGCCTGTGCAACAAAAATGTTCTCAATGCCAAGTTGTGTAATGCAGGGTATACATTTTGCACCGGTGTGGTGTTCCCAGCAGGTACTGTTGTAGCTTGAAGAACACAAGCCCAACTGTCAGTATAATATTGCGTAGCAACAACAGAGATGCTATGTGAAATTGGGATGCTTAGACTTCACTATGACATAGAGTTGTTGACATGCCATTTGCACAGAGCTTGTTCTAGTTTTGTAAAAGGACACATCCTGTTCAGATGGCTATCAAAAATTTATTTGGTTAATATATAAAGTACATTTGTTATATGTATTCACTGTGTACCAAAAGTATGCAATCTAACCAGAAATCTATACGAGGAAGGCTAGTTTGATAAGTCATTGCACATATTTAGAGCATCTTTATATTCCTGCTGTTAGCATCACAACAGCCCTTTGAAGTAACAGTCAGTAAGTGTGGTTTACTAATTAAAAATTTATTACACAAGCTTAAAACATGATGAGCTTCATTTTATTATGCCTGCCATAGCACATTTACTGGCACCACAAATGAGAGAAACCTATCTGAGGATAAACTACTTAAGTTCTCTTTTCTCTTACACAAAGGTGTGAGTAAATGCGTGTGCATTCTGATTTCACAAAAATTTATTCTTGTGAAATGGAATGTTTGTGAAGAACAAGCAAAATGTTATACTGGTTAAGACATAATGACAATACTTCCTTGTTTAACTTTTTCACTTGTTGCACAGTTTTAATAAAAAGTGACTGTTTTAGTTCTAAATGTGGAAAGTGTGCTTTGTTTACTAGATATTTAGTGTTCTTATGCTTTATGAACTTCGGCGCTTCTCTTCCAATGGCATTTTTTCACATTCCCAAGATAGGTGTAAGTCATTCATTGCTAGTCTGGAGTTATTCTCAAAAAGTTCTGACATATTAGTCCCATGAGTACTTTGTGTTAGATAGACATGTGTGTCATTAATGAGTGTACGTTGTCATTGATTAAGAAGCTCAGTAGTTTCTTTTGCAGCCCTTTACCAAATCAAGCGCTCAAAAATGTCTTTCATGCAGGAAATGCTTTTGCATAAATAAATGTGTTGTCAGTCGCCTTCTTTTCAGTGGCCTCTTCTTTCCATCTAGCTTATTACAGCACCAGAAGACATGTGGTCTGACAAAGTAAAGCGTGTATGGGCTATATTTGGTGGTAAGAATCAAAACCTAGAAGGTGGTCTTCATCATCGGTTTTGTAGTCAAGTCGCACCTCCCAGGTGGTTCCTTTTGTGGCACATTTTTAAAACTGACTAGGTAAGCACCGTGGCACTATTAGACAACAAATAGCAGAGCCCCAGTTTTTTTTATAAAGGGATTATAATACTATATTTGTAGCTGAGGTGATTGAGTCACGATTTGCATAAATGACCACTGACAGCCAAATTTTCAATTGTGACATTTATGTTGTAATAAGCAAGTCTGTCTCATCACAAAAACCATAAATGCTCTGACATATAATGAATGCTGGTGTCATTAATTTAAGCACTTCAAAGCACATGCTCATAATAAACTACCATGGTGGTTGCAACTGACCAGGCTTGTGATCACACACACACCTCAAATTGAGGTTCAGTGAATCTGAATGAGGAGTAATGTGGGGCTCTGCATGAGGGAAAGGATGAAACAATGTAGCTGCTGCAGAGCCATCTTCTTGCTTTGAAGGGCACAGTTGCACTTGTGCTCAGGTGTGAGCATTTTAAAATGTAGAACAGAGTGAGGGCACCTTGTAAAAGATACGAGCATAGAGGGAGCCTCAACATGATCCCATTGTGCACTGTACAAACTTTTATATGATATCGACAGTACACAGAAAACTGACAAAACACGAGCGAAATCAAGGAACCACTAAATCATGCATCAGATTATAACAAAAGGTGCTGCCAGCCCATATGAGCATTCAAATAATTTATCCTCAAGGCAGTGTTTGCCACTAATAATTTGGTCTAAAGAATCTGTGTGTCAGGAGACTATAACTACACAAACAGGTGTTTATACAAGATTCTTCCAGCTTTACCAAATCTCCTAAAAGAAGAAAAATTGGGGGTAAGGAAAAGGGAGTACAAAGAACTAAACAAACACCTTTAGTTAGAAATGTTGGTGCCAGTGGTCCTTTAACCAGACATGCAGCAAAATTAGTACACTAATTGTGTAGTGGAGCAGAATTTCCCATTTCTGCTAGCAGGCACGACTAGTGTGTGCATGAATACATCTGTTTATAAATGTTCTGCAAAGATATTTGTCTCCCTTTTTTACATATCACTAAGTGTTAATCTGAGCACTGGTCTTGCCCCTCTCTTCTGTGACTCGTAGAGAGGCAGACAATGTGCATGTATCAATACAAGCACAAGTAAATCCTACGGCACTTGCTTTATTTTTCTAATATTGAAACATGGCCAGTGGCTTAAATAAATAATAAACCTCAAGTCCATCATTTCAGAGGTCAGCCTTGGGTGACAGGCTCAGTGGAATAGCTTTCATTTCAGTCCTGATGCAGAGGAATTCACCACAGACGCAGGTGACTGTCACACAGGCTGTATTCAGCAGCCACCACGACAGTGTGTGTGGGAATGCTGCATTGTAGATCCAGCAGCCAATGAGGTGGAATAAATGCACTGTGCACGTGAAGTCAAGGCATTGCTTTGTCCTTTGAACAAAGTACCACAGACCCAGGGACCTATGCAGGGAGGACAAAAAAAAGAGAGAGAGAGCAAGAAAATGCTTAGAGATTTGAAAAATAAAAACATGTGGATTTATTTTACTGTTATGTTTCTGTGATAGTATAACTAGGACTCAGTGTTGTCAGTTTATTTTGGTTGAAATTTGGGGGCATTTTTCAGAGTTAATTTTGTGTAAAAAATTCAGCATTTATTAGAGTTTACTTCTCATAAATTGCCAAATCTCCACAATCCAATTTCGTTGAGCATTCTCAATTCTCTAATATCTAGATTACATGATATATGAAGCAAAAACATCAGAACACAGAAACACAATATGTACATACTTGAATACAAAACACCTCTACTTGTGTATGTTTGTAAATATTACAACATGAAAGCTTCTTGTAATAAATGTTTGCACAGTGCAAAAAACAAGGAAATAAAAGAGTACACAAAATGTGCATGGTGCATGTATGTTTGTAAATATTACAACATGAAAGCTTCTTGTAATAAATGTTTGCACAGTGCAAAAAACAAGGAAATAAAAGAGTACACAAAATGTGCATGGTGTTGTAATAGATGCAAGTGAACTTTATAAGGTGCTATATTAGATGAGAGGACACAACACAGTGCTCGTGTTGCGTCGGCTCGTTTGTCTTTATTTTGCACCTTGGAAAAACGTCAATGTGAAAACTTGTAAAAATCTTGTTAAACTTGTCTGGCAGTGAAGAGAGATGCATCCATTACAAGTTAACATAACAGGGGATATTAATATTTTTTATCAAGAAAATAATCAGAAGCTTCAAAAAAGAAGTGTTTGCCCTTGTTATTGTGAAACAATCACTTTTGACAAGCATCTTTCATTATGCTCTCTTAAGCGAGAATGTTAAGATAATCTTTAAATACAATTAAAAGGGGCAACTGAAGATGGCGACTTGACAGGCTGGGCGAGTTACTTGACTGGACGAGTAATTTTAATTATGACCTCAGGCATTTGGAATGACTGTGTTGTTCTACTTTTGCTATAAAATATTTTGTCATATGCAAAACACCTGCACATACAGATATGACTTGAGAATGATTTATCAAGCAATGTTGTTTTTTTCAAAATCTTAATCGCAGGATGTTACATGCCAAAGCTATAATTTGATTATCAAGCACAATGCAGTTGGGCACTCTAGATTAATTGTGATACCTGGACTTATTCAATATGCACTTAACTATACAAAAATTTCTGCATTTCACCCTATGAAGTGTTGCTGTAGTAACTGGGATCAATGCCCAGCAGTACAACACCATTGCCACTAAGCTATGCAGCGAGTCCTAAAAATGCTGTTTTTTTTTTTTTTTGCACTGGAAGTATTTCACCACATGAGAAGAAAGCACTTATAGTTGCACAACTTCCTCCAGAAGCAGGGTAGTGCAGATAGATGTGGGTAGTAGAACATGCTCTTAACGTACCATATTCTCTTATGCAGGGGGAGAGGGAGGGTTACATGCTAAAACAGCAGTATAATTAGGAGGCACATCGTAACAGACAGCTCAGAGAATTTCCGACCACCTGAGGATCTTCATGGCACACCTAAATCTTTGTAAAGCAATGGAGGAAAAATTCCTCTAGCATTTTGCCTCCATCGAAATGCAGCTGCTGCAGCCGAGATAAAACCTGTGACTTACAGGTCAGCAGCCAAGCATCGTAACCACCATGGCAGCTGATAGTTTCTGCCACTTCCACTGCATTAACAAGACCCTTCTGCTGAAAGATAGTAATATACTATGTGGTGGTACGAATTGGAACCCAATCCCAGTAAACTTTCTAGCCAAGGATAAACTGGGATGAAAGGCATGACGACTGAACAGGCTCAAGGTGCAAAATAAAGACAAGGGATAAGGCACACGAGTACATTGGTTCATGCTTATCAGTTCCACAAACCTATCTTGGTCATGTATCAACTAACCTGAAAGCAGACATCACTAAGCATGACTACCCATCAATGTGATACCTTGATGCTTTGGCAATTTTGAAACTTTCACTAAAACAAATTGCTAAACAATACTATGGTTGGATGTAGCTTAAGTCAGTGAGCCTAGATGATTGAAGCACAGCAGCCAATTACTGAAGATATAGTCCAAATGATGTACAGTGTTCTACACTCTTGGGGTGAAGACGACTCGGCGTGGGTAAGCTCTGGGAAGCGTCTGTGCATATGGCACAGCTGCGTATCGTAGCAAAGCTGAGCAGACGCACGAGGCAAGTACAACACATAATCTGCTACAGCACTGATGACACCAAAGTACACCGCTCTTGCTTTATTATGGCAAAGCAAGAACAGCACATTATTGTCCTATTTCGTTTCTATATGCAACAGCACTAGATGCACAGGCACGCCACAGAGCGCTGCCACGCTGAGCCATCTTCTGCAATGTGTGTAACTGCTGCATTCCGTTTTTTTTTTGTATAGTTGCTTTGTATGTACACAATTTGCTAAGTCCTAACCTGAACCTTCAGTAATGTTATTGTTACTTGTAAAATTTAAAAAAAAAGCTCTTATTGTTCCTTGTTCATAATATAGTTTTTTGAATGAATTAACACAGGAGGTGCTGCCTGTTGATAGTAACCTTCAGACTTCCTCCTGTATATTTACCTGCAATGTATTACCTTTTCAACATGACTATTAAAGATTGATTGAATGATGGGGTCACCAATCATGCTGCTTATGTCAGTCTAGAGAGCAAATTCATTGGTGCAGGCTTGAGCTACAAATGGCACTGCCCTCGAAAGATATACTGGACAAAAAATGCTCGTATGTTGTATATAACTAATGGCTCATAATATCCTTAAAGCAATTTCTGGTGTAATTTCTTTCTTGAAGTAAACCAGAAAGTTTGTCTTATACACAAAACGGAGTGTCTAATAGTGTTACGTCTAGACGTAACGATAGAAGCTGTTAAGTTACATCCAGACGTGAAAATAAAGAATGTTAGAGTTACGTCCAGCGTGACAATTCAAAACCGGCTTGCTAAACCATCCGGACCGATCGGCAGTTGTGGCGTAATAGGCTGAGGCAACACATACAGGATGGTGAGGCGATTGGTTTTGAGCCCCTTTGCGATCTTTTTTTTTTTCTTTATAACATTTTCATTCTTTATTTTCATTTATAACATTTTCATTCTATATAACATTACTGCAATAATGTTCCAAGGGCGCGCATATATATATATATATATATATATATATATATATATATATATATATAAGAAAATCACTTTCGTGGTCACGGCAGTCGCGCAAAACTGCGTTGCTATTGTGCCGTACAGTTTTGCTGTAGCAAAATAGTGAGTAATAGTGACGAAAGCACACCAAAAAGCGAGAATATCCCAGTGACACATGAGCAAACCTCCGAGACTGCCAAATGATTATCAAACTCAAGTACCACACGACGGACGTAACTTTAGCAGCTGATCATAGTTATGCCTGGACGTAACTTTCACCTTCCGCAAAAGCTACATCTAAATGTAACGATAGAAGATGTTTCGTCCAGCATGACAGCTATACAAAATGGGCTTGTTAGACCCTCCAGACCGATCGGCAGTTGTGACGCAGTTGGTTAAGGCAGCACGTACAGGATTATGGGGTTGTTGGTTTGAGTCCCTCCGTAACTTTTTCTTTTATTTGCATAAGTATTTTTTAAAACATTGCAGCATTAATGTTCTATGGGCGCCGCTTTTATTTTTTTTCTCGGTGACAAATATTTCTCACTGTGTGCGATCGTTTTCCTTGTATCTGTGCGTGTTTATGTTGTATGTAAATGGTGTTACGTGACTGAAACAATCAAGTATTCTCTTTTTGCTGTGGCGGCCACAAAAAAAAAAAAAAACATTTCTCTGTAATTAGTTGAAATTCCATCAAACTCTAGCAGATGCAAACGTCACCGTGGTACCGTGGACGTAACGCAAGCAGTGGCTATGGTTATGTCTAGACGTAGCGAAACCGTTGGCTCTAGTTATGGCTGGACATAACGATTGTGGTGCTTACAGTTACATCTGGACGAAACCCTAGCCACACCGTTCACAAAAATGGTTTTTATGTAGTGGACATGATGATCGCATGTACGTACTATAACAGTCAGATGAAATCTGCTTCTATCCAATAAGAATTTTGCAGAGTAAAATGCCACCGCACTGTCCTAAGAGCTTTGTCCCGTAATCTGCAGATCTCTTTGAAGCATTCTAAAAGCTGAGGTGTTTGTCTCGCAGAAATAACTTGGGGGGGGGGGGGGGGCAGCAAAGGGCATCTGATGTTTATGTTGCAATAAATTGAAACCTGGGTACAATGTAACCTGGACATAGTCGAGGCATGTAACAGGAGAAAGTTTTGATGAGGCGATATTTCCTGGCTTATTGCTTTCACACTGCTAAGAGGTTACAGTGTTTACAGTATTGATTGCACTTCCTACACGGCCTCAACAGACTTAAGCAGACAGAAAGTGCGATGGAGTTGACGCACACAGGAGGCGAGACACGCAAGCGTCTCCTCTGCCCGCGTCTCGTGTTTCGCGCTATTGCTCCGTCATTACGTGCCTTAACAAGTCTAGACTAACTCCAGGCATGTCACGTCACTATCACACCGCTTCTCAGAAACTAGCAAAGATCTAATTGCCTCTAGACATCCAGATTTCATACATAGTTTAATATCCACATCAGAGAAAAATTAAAAGCATACTTACGCGAACAGCGAGTTTATTATATAGGATCCTATTATGCACCGCCCCCGCATGTCCTTTATATGCACCGCCTGCAATTGACGACATCGCATATAGCACAACACAACAGTGGCAATTAAACGCTGCGACAAAAAGACTGGATTCTCACCTCGTAAGAAAACAGTTGATCGAGCGACAAAACTTGGCCGGTGACAATGTCGAGGAAGCATATCCAAAAGCCTAGTCCGACATAGTACATGCACTGAAGAGTTATCATTTGAGATATGATGAGAAACGGGTCCCACACTGAGTAGCGGAAGTGACCAGCCATTATACAGAATGATTTGTCACAGACTTGTTTTTTAAATGAAGTGTGTGAAATTTCAGGAGGGGCAGCACTTCATTTTATCCGTCCGACAACCCAGCCTCTCACCATGGCTTAGGCAAGCCGTGCAGGCTGCTACTTGAACAAAGGCAGGGTTTGAATAGAACCTTACGATTCCTTCAGTAAAATTAGTTTGATCATTGTAAGTTTGGCGGTTTACGTTTCTACGCACAGCAATGACATCGATCGCAACAACTATACACCAACTAATCGTGGCCTGTGAGGATACGGATTTGGATGGTCGCTCGCAATGCAATCCACAAAAAAATCCAATTTCGAACGTAACATGCTTATAAAATACCTTGCTTGACTAAGCATAAGTTCAATTGTCATTATAAAAAAGTAAAACGAAATTAAAAATTTTGAAATTACAAGCACTTTGTCATGGCGTAGCGCTAATGCCATTTGCCTTGCCTATGCCATCCTAGCTTAGCTAGCGTCCACAACTTCCGCTCCTTCCGTGTGTCCTACCGGCTTCACTCGTACGGCTGCAGGTGAGGTTGATCTGCGCCGCTGTTCTCTGCTGGCTGGTTTTCCGAAAAATTCCGCTGAGCTCCTTTAAGCTGAGGTAACAGTGTCATTAAGGTGTGGTGAATGTCGCCGATCACTTGAAATGTGCAATCACTGCGCTTGAGGGAGCGTTTGCTAGGTTTCACCTTTTGCGATTAAGCCTAACCTTTTGGAAGGCGGTGGAGGTCAAAAAAGGTGGATGTTACAGGTTGCATTAATGATGTTTCATTTGGGCCCTATTAGTTATCTGAGATTTAGCTTTACGTGTTGTCTTGTAATGTATTATGTTGACTTTGTGGCATCTTGCTTTTTTTCTATGTGGAAACTTCTGCCGAGAGGTGCCAGTATCGATTTTTTTTTTGCACTCGTGCAGGACGAAAATATTCAAGTCATGTGGATCGTGTGAATTGCACAAATTTAGGACTTACGTCACTATGTTTAATTTGAGGCTGGGGAACGTGCGATGTTTGTGTACACCGACTTTTATGCCAAGTGAAGTGTACGAACTCGGGAAAGCTCGAGTGCAGTAGTAGGTTCCGTTTTTTACTTATTCCGAGGCGAGCCGTTGGTAAAGTAGCGACATGCGTATTGAAAGGTTTGTTTTTATCCTCTTAGTTAAAGCGTTTGTAGGTATCGATTGTGTTCATTGCTGTGACGATCCGCATAAACGCGAAGCCCTCAAATATTACTGGTGAAAACCGTGCGCAAGGTAGGCGGCGTGAGTGGACTGCTGACTGATCTCGATTACCATGCGTTGCAATGTGCGATCAGAGCCGTGTTTGCTTTGTTCGCAGATTGTCTTGCCAAGCGCCTTCGATGAATTGTATTCACACCTTACTACTGACGTTTTGCATAACAATCAGGATAATACGTGAAATTTTGAGTAGGCCTGTCACGTTATTATGCTTGGCTTTGCCCTGCAGGTTTGGATTTTTAGATGTTTATTTAGCGATTCGGAGTTTGGAGGTTGTGGAGCTGTGAGGCACTAAAGTGACAATCAGGTGTTGCGTTGTGTGCATCTGAGTTTTAAGTGAAGGACGAAGATGCCAACAAGTGTTGCTGTATGCACAGTCGGAATTTCACCTTTCTAGGGCAGTTGAGGGCATGGCTGCGGGCACTGGCCCTATCAGAAGCTGCGACGTGTCGTTAGCTACAAGTTTCTGTTCATGCTTGAAGTGTGACCTAGCATATGGTGTGACCATGTTTAGTACCATTATAGCATCTGTCTGTACATGCTTTTGGGAAAAGCAGCGATCGACTGGCTGAACTAGCCAAGTGTGATACCGACTGCAGATTCCATCAGGGTCAATTGATTGTGCTAGCATTTTTTGTCAAAAATTTTCCACCCCAAGGTGCAAGTGCAGACCTAACACAAGTAAATGTTATATAATAATTGAGACTGAATTGCACTGAATTGTGTGGCATAGTAAAGTCCTACTTGTTTTTATCTATGGTAGGGTAAAAAAGGTTATCATTTATATGAATATTAGATCAGTGTCCCTTTCCCAAATTTTTTACTTGATGTAATGCCCCAACTGATATATATCCAGATCACTAAGCAGCAGTACAAGTTGTAGCAGTAATATAGATGTATTATCAATTATGCAAGGGTCTGGTCAGGATTAAATTTAACTACAATTGGCTCTTTTCTTGCGCTGACTTGCACAAATGAGCTAATCATGATTGAAGTTGATTCCCATTAGGCCAAAGCACGATACGAAATGCACCATTTGCCATACCATTAATGAGGAGCAAATGTCATTCATCATCTTCGTTATCAGCAAGCTTCAAAATATCTGTGCTAGCTTAAATTTGTGGCATTCATTCCTTTTTTGTGCCTCCACAAGATGCCACCGCTGGCCTTTTGGAGATGTGGGGAAGTGCTGTTCCTGCTAAAAGCACAAAATGAAAGTTTTGTTTAGATATACAGAGGCGTCTAATTCCACATTGAACACTGCACTGTGCGGCCAGTGCTCCGTGGAGTGCCTCTCGTGGGCACTTGCCGAACTTATGTGCAAGCACAATGACAGCTGTAGGAGGGGTCTTCGCTGCATCATCTGCTAAAGTGTGGTGGCTCCACTGAATTGTGCTAGATTTGCTCTGAAGATCACTTAAATCTTGTTGTGCCTATGCAAATCACTGATGCCACATGCTGCACGAGAGGCGAAGCAACCGCTCCTTGTTCTGCCAACTTTTACGCTTCGCGTTTCCTTTATTTTCGGCATCAGATTTCCCTAGTAATAAACCTTAGCCCATCCATGAATAAGATCTCTAAACTGTGCTGAACCTCCCACAACTAAGCATATCTATCTGCAGGGGCATGGGCAGAAGTTTTTTCTGGGGAGGGAAAGGTCACTACCTTGATCCGAAGAGGGGGCCGAGCAGGCAAATGGTCATTTTGTACTATTGTATGTCAAGAAAAAAAGAAATTTCTTCGAAGGGGGAAGTAGTATACGGGCCCGGTTAGCCACTGCTTAGTTTCTTTGTACCCAGTCGCCAGAACGTTCCCGATGCTCATGCAATTGTTTTTTATCAGCTTAAAGGTGTTAGTCTTGCATAACAGCTTTAAATATGGGAAGTTTCCAATGGTTAGCCACTTAAAAACAAAAAGGATGAGGCAGTTTGCCCATTTCAAAGTAGTGGCATATCATTTGGCTGTTACCAGCACCGGTGCTATCATAGACTAGCCTATATAAGTCACCAACACGCCGCCCTAATTTTTACTGTTTTTTAACCGCGCTTCTTCATACTATTCTTGCAGGCATATTAAAAAAGGTTGAAATAGAGCTTTCAGCAATCAGTGCATCTAAGAAACACCACTGTCAAATTTTAACTTCTGTCCGCCGGCACTGAATTGACTCTCTCTCTATTGCTACGCAACCCATGGCCCCCGCATCGCTTTTGATCTTTCTTCGCTCAATATTTGAGCACAGTGCAGAAAATTTTCTTTATGCCTTCAGTTTGCAGCATATTCAAACTTACATACTTCGTTACTGACTTTATTTCGCAAGCTTTCAGCAGATGAAAACAATTGTGTCTGTCACGGGAATGTTCTGGTTAGCCCCAAACAGCTCAGTAGATTACTTGTGGGAACACCTGTGGGTGTTCGAGATTTTACTCTTGCAAGGCCCCAGGTTCATTACTTCTGAGATCGCATGCAGAAAAGAAAGAAAACATGATAAGCAAAAACTAGATAAGACGAGCAGATATCGCTGTGTGCATTGAAAATCTTGCATGCTCATCGCGAGATACAAAGTTAGCTCCACCGCAAAACAAAAGCGATTCGGCGGAGCCACTGCGCTTTAGCAGATGACGCGGCGATGGCCCCACCTACAGCTGCTACTGCGCTTGTGTGCTAGTTCGCCAAGCGTTCGCGCAAGGCGCTCTGCTTGATAAATATGTACATGTTGACAAATATGCACATGTGAGCCTCGACTCGGAAAAACAAAGACTAGGGGGAAGCAAGAATATCACTTTTTGCTTAGACTGATAACAGGTTATCAAAACTTCGCTAATGCAAAAACAAAGTATTCTTTCTTGTAAAGAATGGCTCTTGCGCTAAGCAAAAAGTTGATTGATTGATATGTGGGGTTTAACGTCCCAAAACCACTATATGATTATGAGAGACGCCGTAGTGGAGGGCTCCGGAAATTTAGACCACCTGGGGTTCTTTAACGTGCACCCAAATCTGAGCACACGGGCCTACAACATTTCCGCCTCCATCGGAAATGAATCCCGGCTGCGGCGGCTGCATTTCCGATGGAGGCGGAAATGTTGTAGGCCCATGTGCTCAGATTTGGGTGCACGTTAAAGAACCCCAGGTGGTCTAAATTTCCGGAGCCCTCCACTACGGCGTCTCTCATAATCATATAGTGGTTTTGGGACGTTAAACCCCACATATCAATCAACTTTTTGCTTAGCACAAGAGCCATTCTTTACAAGAAAGAATACTTTGTTTTTGCATTAGCGAAGTTTTGATAACCTGTTATCAGTCTGAACACAAATCGTTGCAACCTGCTTGGTGACTTATGCTATCCTTACCTTGTTGGTGTTGCGCCTGCTTAATGCGCCTATGGTGGGGTGTGCATGCTTACAGTTTTATGTAAATATAAGTGGATAGCTTTTTGAATAAACAGTTGATAGTGAGTAGTTGTCCATATCTACCTTTTACATATTTTGGTGTTTTCTTGGGGCTTTCTCTTGTTCTAAGTGCCTTAACTGTTAGTGTCTGATCGGTGGATGGCATGAAAACGGCCTGGATACGCTAGCATGGTTGCAATTTAAAAGATGTGCTTAATCACCTCATTTATGGGCTTCTTTGGCTGCTTGCAAAACAGCACTTTTTTTTGCCATGGTACAGGATTTACATTATTGTATCTTGACCCATTTTATCTAAATTTGACATCCTCACATGTTGGGGGTAGTGACTTAAAAATCGGTGCCAAATCTAGCCCTGCCTGTTGTGGTGGGACAACCGAGAAATCGGGCGCACTGTTGCATGGTTGCAATATTAGATTTGCTTTTTGGCTTTACCCATAGAGTTTAATTATTCCGTGTGCTTGTTTTGAAGAAAAAAAACATTTTTTCTGCTCTTGCGAAGCCACTGTTCACACTCAGCAGTTCCATTGCTGTTCAGACAAGCACTTGTTTTTTCAATGATTGACACTTAAAAAATGGCACGTACAACTCATATGAGTGTGTTGATCATTGTTTGTAGAGCCACTATTCCAATCAGCAATGGCACTCCTGACGACAATTCAGTGGCATGTGTAGTTCAAGGCCGATAGGGCTGGGGCATGGAAGTTCATAAGGAGGGCTGACGTGATGATGAGTGAACACATGTAGTTAGTCCAGAAACTGCCTAAACGAATTTACTTTAGAAAGTACACTTGGATTTTTTCTTTCTAATGTGTGCTGTTGGGGAGGGGAAAGGCATTGTCCTACATGTGTGACTTACAATTGTGTAAATATGGTACGTCTGTTAATGTTTTTTAGATTGCTAACTATTTGGTATTTCTCTGCGAGCTCTACAAGTTACCTCATCTTAATGTGCAAGATTGATTTGGAGGGATACCGAGAGTGTACTCTCGCCTATAGCCATAACAGACTTATAATCAAGTAGACATGGTAAATGATGAGATTTTTAATGTTAGGGCCTATGGCATCCTTAAAGTTTCATTTCCTGAGAATCCTGATTTATGCTGTTGCAGGTTTTAGGCATGCAGTGACTTCTTGCTGGCTTTAGTGATACAGGGTCTTAGAGATTAACAGATCAATGTGCAATTTGCTTTCAGCATGGCAAACCGACTGCTGCAGATCAGCGAGCGTGCAGTCAAGTTGGCACCCTTAGCAGCACGGGCTCAACCAGCAGCTGCATACCATGGCCGTGCCCTTATTGGCAAGCGAGAAGTGGTTGGCTTTGGTATGAATGGCGAGTACAGCTACATTGACAACCCCGACTTCCCTATGCCAGCCATCCGCTACAAGGAACCCACTCCAGATATTGAAAAATTGCGTGAGAAGGAGAAGGGGGATTGGAAAAACCTCAGTCTGGAGGAGAAGAAAGCCTGTGAGTCATTTATAAACAGAGTCCCATTTGAGTGTAGGCTGTGCAAAAGGTATTTTTTTGTGACTGATCCCCTTTGCAGTAAGTTTTAATGGGGAAACCCATGCACAGTTTTGAACAGAAAAGCTGATCCAGTTGCATTGAAGTATAACCGTATGTGCACGAAATTACCAAGAAGAGTGGGGTATGGGGCCAATTTCTATTGTTGTGTCTGTGCAGTGTTTTTGAACAGGCTGCGATGCCATCATTTGTATCACTGGTGTACTTGCTCAATTTTTATATGCAATTGTTGCCGTTTTGACTATGTTTCATGTTGCTATCGTCAAATAAGACACCATTCAGTAAGTAGAAATCAAACCACTTATATGGTTCTTGATGGTGTCCTGGGCCTAAAAGTGCATTCCCACCAGGAAGCTTTCTATTAGCAGGCGATATCCAATCAGCGCATTGAATCTCTAGTAGTGCGTGTTATGTCCATTGTGCCTGCCCACTCTCCCAAGATATCGTCAGCCCGACTGTGCTTGCTGCAGGAGGAAGGCCTCTCCCATTTTCCGCCAGCCAACTCTGTCTTGTGCTTGCTGCTGCCACTTTATACCCGCAAACTTCCTAATCTCATCTGGCCATCTTTTTTTCTGCTTTCTACTCACCCGCTTGCCTTTTCTTAGAATCCAGTCTGATTCTTTATGACCAGCGGTTATCCTGCCTTTTTGCTACGTGCCCTGCCCATGACCAGTTCTCGATTTTGACCATGATGTCCTTAACACCTCTTTGTTCCCTGATACACTCTGCTCTCTTTTTGTACCTTCCAAGACATACTCCTGCTCTATGCTTACCGTTCCATGGTAGCTCAGCATTCAGGGTGTTACGCTGCTAAGCCTAAAGACACTTATTCTGTTTGAATCAACTTTGGTAGCATTCCAGGGTTGCCATGGCTGTATTATTGGTGTCAAATGAAATGTGAACAGCAGCAAGCATTAGCAGTGATATATTGCGTGCGGTCCAGTAATCACCTTGTACTATGCAGAGCTTCCAAAGTGCTGCTCAACTGTGATGACTCGATGATGCTCACTATACCATTTCTAATGCTTGCCGATGTTCAAGTTTCATTTAAAGCTGATAGTACCTGCCTTTCACACAGTTATTTCATAATCCCGTGTTCTGATTGGCTTGCAACAAGCTATGCTTATTCCCTGTCACGCAATGCGCGGCCAGTCCCCTTGCTGACAAGAAATGTTCACCTGAATGGGGCATAATGGGGTTAGAACAAACTACAGTTGTGTAGATATGACAAAACGTTGCAAATATTTTGTCTTCACCGTAATACTGTGAACTGAGAAAAATTGATTAGCAGCTTGGTAGGTAGCACATTTTTGCACAATCCCACTGTCACTAGTGAAACTCACTGTGTAGACCTTTGAGCAAAAGGCAATGTTTTATAGTGGCCAAAAACTCTTGCTGTAAAGCAGCAAAAGCGTATTATCCTCTGTGAAATGAAATTCTGTTTGTTGGGGTCGCTTAAGGACATGCATGAGTGGGGTTATACCTTAAACAGTGTTTTTTAAACTATAGTGCAGGCTTGAATGCGAGTGATAAAGTGATCACTGTTTGCTTCAATTTTGCTTCAATTTTGCTTCAAACCTAAAATTCACTATTCGCTCAAGCCTAGTTTTAATGTATGCGAACACGATTGCCTTTTTCACCTTTAAGGTGGTGATTCAAATAGTTTTACTTATCAAGTTCTCGTACCTTATAATATTCTGCAAATTTTTTTCTCAAGTTCCTTGCTTGCTCCTCATGTATGGTTATGATTGTTCTGTATCATGAATAATAAATGCAGTGAACAGTGTCCTTGATGTAATTTGAAAAACCACTGGCTACTACACTTAGCTGCCCTTGAGGGTAGGAGATCGAAAGGATTAAAATTTGTGCGTAAAACTTAATATTTTTTTCATTGAAAAGTAGCAATCTGTTAGTGTGTGTGCTTCAAGTAATTTTAAACTAATAGATTTGCTCACTGTCTGCTCTCCTCTTCCTTTGTTTCTTAGTGTACCGGTACAGCTTTTTCCAGACCTATGCTGAAATGAATGCATCGCGAAATGAGTGGAAACCCATTGTGGGGAATGTGTGCTTGCTTTTGGGTGCGACCCTCTGGGTTTGGATTTTCCTAAAGAAGTTTGGTGAGTAACCTCGTGAGGGTTGATGCTGCATTGTTACGGTGCCATCTCTCTGTGTTCAATGAATGTGCCACTTGAAAAAAATGTTTATGCCTAGCAAGTGCTAGGCATTCTTCTCGTGCCTTAGTCTTTTGTGTTCCTGTCGTGGTTGTTTACACTTAAGCATTGTTTTCTCCTCAAGCATCTGGGCTCGCTGTTGTAATTTTATCTCACAAGTATTTTCCTTTTGTTTGGCTCGTAATAAAGCTGTGTGGATCTGGTAACTGATGGCAAAGAATATGTGGAATCCTTGTTTTCACTGTGCACTATGTGATGGCCATGCGAGTGAGCCATAATCTTTTCTGCACTTGGCAAAAAGAAAAGACTTTATAGTCGGCACCTTATGCAATATTTGCTGCGACATTGTACTTATTTGTTAGTGGCATCAGTGCACAAAAATATATGCAGATTTGTACTTGTAAGTTACTGTGTACTACTGTTATAGTAGTGCCGAGCTCCCAGCAGGTACATATTAATGACGTTCACTCCAGTATGTGGGATGATGGCTGCTTTTTACTATGACTGCCGTTCATATACATGCTGAGAAGCTGCCATTTATTTCAGAATGTTGTCATACATAGCTTACTCTTTTGAAAAAAAAAAAAAGTGGATAAGTTGATTTCATCAGTGTGCATACTTTTTAAATCTCCACTGTTTTAGATGCACCAACAAAAATTTAGAAGGGGGCGGGAGCAGAACTAATGCTTCAATATAACTGAAAAACATGTTGCAAATTTTGTGGCTTACTTGCTGGAACAATGTTCCCGCTTTGATATTTTTTAATGCTCTTATGCTGCATTTATATGCTGTATTTATGTTTGTAAAAAATGGTAATGTTCATTCCTAGCTGCAAATATACCTTCTGTTGCAGTGTATGGGCCATTGCCAGAATCCACCTCTTTGGAAGCAAGGCAGGCTCAGCTGCAGAGGATGATTGACCTTAGAGTGAATCCTGTTGAGGGCATTGCCTCGAAGTGGGACTATGAAAACAACAGGTGGAAGTGAAGACTTCTTCAGTGCACCACACAGCTGCACTAGAAGTAGGTTTTAGGTCTTCACCTTTCTGCAATAAAGTATACACTCAAGTCACACTTGGTCTCCTACTTGGTTTTGATACCATGCCGCTCACATTAAACGTTGTGCCATGTCTGCATGTTTGTCTTCATTCATTATTCATATGTGTGCTGATGACTCCACAGTACATAGCAATGAGTGGCTTGAAAAAGGCGAAACATACTTTATCTGTGTAACAGGGATTTCTTATATTCGGAGTCGTGTGTTGTAATGAAGTTAATCGGACTCCACTAAAGCTTTGATGCGGCTAACTATCAAGTCATATTCAATAAACTTCAAAGAAGGATTGGTCAGGCTTAGGAAAGGAGCGCTGGAATCATTTTCGAAAGGGAGGCTGTGTGTAGTATGCACCGCTTTCATATTCAGAAAACGAGATCACTGCATTCTACTTTATAAATTGCCTATCTTCTTTGAGGGGTGTACAAAAAAAGTTGGAGCCTCTTGATTGGCCCTTTAACCAGGATGTACTCCGGCTCAATTCACGGTCCTTTACTTTTGGTTTTCTATCTTGAGGATCTTTTTTGTGTTCTCGTCATTCTTTTGATTACTCATTGCATTCTAAATGCACATGACACGACCATACCATTTGGTGTCTATTGCTAATGCATTGACTAACATGATGAATTGGTGTATCAGTGATTAGTTTGTGGTCTATAAAAGACAAGTTTGTTTAAGAATGCTCACTTTGTTTCTGCACTAAGGCACAAGACTACTTCTATTCCCGCTTGCAACAATGTTACTTCTTGGCATACATAGACTCCCCCCCCCCCCCCAAGAAAGCTTCCATTTAGCTGTCGTTTCCATCATCTCAAGCAGAAGACTGTGTTTGGTATCTGCACATGAATCAAAGCTCATCTTTTTTTTTTTTTTGGCTCATGAGCCCTTTAGTGTTGGTTTGCTTTCACTCGTAGTCACAATAATTATGCTAGCATTTCATTGGGCATCATGTATGCTCTTCACTTGTTAGTTCAGCATATTACAAATTGGTCAATATTTGATGTCACTTCCATTTCCATTCTATGCAATGTCTCTGTGTTACTCTGCTCGTAGTCTTTCATTCATTATGCATGTGTCTTGCAAAGAAAACGAGCCCTTAAAATTTCTGCTTCTGTTCTTCATAGTGAGTGTCTCGTTCTGGGAGACTTAATGCTTTCAGGGAGTATGTAAGGGATTATTGGTCAACTGCCAGACTGTAATAAGGTTGTGTGCTTCATGACACCAACAAGCAGAAAAAGTGTGTTGCACATTGTCATGGTTACTAGCGGTGGTACTTTCACTCTCTGGCAGTGTTGTCTGTTAGCTCTAATATTCTAAGAAAAAACGAGGTAGCCGTTAAAATTTCCCCTTCATGGTGCTTGTAGAGCATGCTGAGGCAATTATTTGTTCCTGATGAACATAGCAGTATTCTATGAGCAGTACGTGCATGTCTATGATACTGTTAGCCATATAGTTAACTCTATGCTGTTAGCTGCCGGCAAAGGCGTGTACTGGGTTTGTCGTGAGGGAGAGCAAAGTGCAGGGGCGTAACAGCTTCGCAAATTGCGCCGATTTGATACAAATCACTATTTTTGCGCCTGGCTGCGCCAAAACCGGGAAATTTGCAAAAATTGCGCCACGCTGTGACAGAATGCCCCGTCAGCCTCAAAATTCTCTAATTGTGTTAGTTTCAGCGAGAAATGGAGGCCACATTGGACACCCGCAGTTTGCGTCATCAATCTAACCAAGCGAGCAAACCCTAACCCTAAACCACGGTGTAAGATATATTCCCATTAGTTCAGGGCACTCGCGAGACGCTATCGACGAGCTAAAGTAACAGCCGCGCGCCTGTCAGTCCGCTGACCGCAGCGGATACGTATCGTCGGGACGACGCAACTTAAAGACAAAAAAAAAAAATGTATAGCCGTAGCCACTAACGCTTCGCAGGAGAGAGAGAAAGAGATGGACCTTATTTAAACATATCCTGAGGAGGCTGAGAAAGGGCCATTCCGACCCTTAATTCAACCTGGAGGCTCCGCCCAGGATGGCGCTGGCACCCGAAGGCATGTAGCGATGTCTCGGGCCCTCTGGACTGCCTGTAGTTGCTGCTTGTATTCATTGCTTTTGAGGGCTTCCTGCCAAGCCTCTTGGGTATTCGGTTGCTGCGCTGTGGGTAGGGCACAGCCAAAGCATGTGTTCGAAATTGCAATAGGGATGGTTGCAAAGGGAGCATGTGGGTGGTGTGACGGGGTCGACTCTGTGTAAGCTGGATGGTGTTATGTACGTACGTGTTTGTAATCTTCTTAGAGTTAGAGCTTGTGCTTTGTTAAGTTTTGGGTGCGGTGCTGGGAAAGCACGTCTTTGTTCCCGGTAATGTGAAGCGGGAATACGAACTTCCTAATCAGCAAACGTGGCTATGGCATGCCGCGTTTTCCGCGCGCGAACAGAGTCGACGTGCTCCGAACGCCAGCGACCACGTTGGTCGCCATAGCTACGGCACATGAAACATTTTTCTGTCTTGAAGTTACGTTAGTTGCGTCGTCCCGGCTGCAGTCGCCGGACGGTGGGTGCGCGCAGTTATTTTATCTGGTAGAACGCGCCTTGCAAGCGAGCCGAGAAGTTGTGCCCTAAACCTAACCCCATCGTGAAAAAAAAAAAAAAAAGCGGGGGGGGGGGGGGAGGTAGCGTAGCGTTAATCGAAAATTTCTTGACCTTGTTCTAACCCAGTGGTTCTCAAATGGGGGTCCACGGACCCTATCCGCGAAGCCACTTCTTTGATCCGCGAAGCCACTTCTTTGATCCGCGAAGCCACTTCTTTGATCCGCGAAACCCTCAACCGCTTTTTTTTTTACATCTCTTGGAGTTTAGTTCGATTGTGACTCGAAGTAAATACCGAAACAGGTTGAATGTGCCTGCATATATGCAACTCTGCTTAAGTGCGACTGTGCTACGTATCGATGAGCTGTCCAAAATGAAGTGATGCGGCACATTTGATGTTTTGGTAGCAATAAAAGGCACCTGTTTCACCAGTTGTGTTATTCACCTACGTACCCCCCTCCCTCCCATCTGCTGCAAGGGGTCCCCCACTACTTTCACTAGTCCACAAAGGGTCCCCTAAATATCCATGGCTGAAAACCATTGTTCTAACTCATGCTGAATGCTGCTTAAGTCACCTTCGCCGCAATGCATTGGCGTCTTGTGGAAAAGCGTAATATGATTTGGAAGGGGCTATTGACACTAGTTGCGGGACAGAGCTCATTGTGTTTAGTGACTCACGCGTGTATACTCTTCATGACTGTGAGTACTAGTATGATGGCCGACATCTAAAAAAAGTTACCGGCAATTATTTTGAGCACTGTATGACATTGCTGTCACCTTAAAAAGAACTGCACCAGTTTTTTTTTTCGCCACCCCTACTACTCAGTTTCACAAATACCCTGAATTTTTAAGTCAATACCTTGGCAGCTCCACATTTGAATTCTCACAGTCTGTCAAAAGTAATTGGCAGGTACGACAAATGCTAATGTGGACTTTATTATTGTTTGCACTGAAATAGCAGTGTTCATGTTTACTCTGCACGATTTAGCTGATTTTGTATGGTTTGTACTTACTCGTTTTCTGAATGTAAGCCTCTTTTTATACTGCTCCAAATTTGGTCTCTCGTGATAAAATTTTTGTTGTTGTTTTTTGTTTCTCGGAATCTGCTCCAAATTTGCATTGCAGTGTTCCAAAAATATCATTTTGCTATTCCGAAAATTGCCTCAAATTTTGTTTCGGCTGTTGCACCCCTGAAAGTGCCACCGCTGCCCTCCCGGTCAGTTTAGTCAGAAAGAAAAGCCTCACAGTTTCAAAAATGAAAATTGCGACGAATTGCTTCCAACGACGACATGCCCTTTGTTCCCAGTTTTCCGGGCGTAAAGGTGGCAAGTTTAATGGTTCTTCGAATGAAGGTTCTGGTGTTCTCCGCCCACATTATCGTCAAAAATTTGCGTATCCGTAACTACTAGTCTTGTCACAACCCCGCAATTTCAGCAAGACGGGTCCGACTGAGTAAGCTGTAGTGCGTGTCTTTGCTAGCTTCTTGCATTCAGGCGGGCGAGGGCACCCCTTTGAAGAGTCCGCACTTGAATTTGCAATTCATGACATCGCCATCGGAGGTTTGGCGGGAAATCATAAGGTTAAGCTTGCGTCATTCATTTCCTCATCTATTAGCAAAGATATTAGTAAATTAACGAGACGAGTTTCCAGAGCACAATTAATCAGTCTAAATTAATTTATTAGTTCATTTTAGTGTCCCTTTAACAAAAAGCGCCGTTCTATTGGATCTGATGCGCTTCGTGCCAAGTGGTGCCACGCCTTGTGCTAGCGTTCAAATTATGCAGTAGTAACCCTATATTGCCCACTAGAATCACATACGGAAGTGCGATCGCGTTTCATGACGAGCGCTCAAGGTCATCATGCGTGGATGATCTAACTTGTTTTCCGCGTATCGCCCCTCCCTGCTTCCAGCGCCTTCTTTGGGAAGGGGGAAGGTATATAGCGCTTACGACAAATCTCTGTAACTCCGCCCGTTTCTGAAGAATAAAATTGCAGTGATCGAATAATGATTTGCGGTTTAACGTCCCAAAACCACGATATGATTACGAGAGAGGCCTCAGGAGATTCAGACCACCAGGGGTTCTTCAACGTGCGCCTAAATCTAAGCACACGGGCCTCAAGCACTTTCGGCTCCTTTTGTTGAAAATGCAGTTGCCGCGGCCGGGATTCGATACCGCGACCTAACTGTCAAGCATCTATTATAACTATGCTAGACCACCGTGGTGAGTTTGCAATGATCAATCCGTGAAGGAATAAGCTCCTGATCTTGAGGCCAATTGAGGATTACTTAGAAATTCAATTCAGGACCCCTTTAAAAAGAAAGCATCGAAAGACGCGTTCTATTTGTTTTCTTGTTCTTCCCTGATTTTTTTTTTACGAGTCTCTCAATGATTATAACAGTATACGTGAGCGGGGTTTGGGCTTTCTCGTGTTTTTTCGCGAG